AAAAATATTACAGAGCGGTAATAAATAATAATAAATCTTCCGCACAAGATGTAGGCAAAATATTCACTAGTTTCATAAAGTTATTAATATTTAAATGTAAGCTATACTTTGTACCTTATATATTTCACAACACAAAATATGAGTTCAAGTTTTAATTAGCACTCTCATGTACCTAAGTATTGATACTGTATAGGTTAATGATTAAAAATAAACCTAAACTTTGAAAGCAATTTCAGAGGTATTAAAATATTTTAGTTGAAGCATGTAATATTTTTAATGAATGTTATTATTTTCATTATTGACTGAGTGACAAAGTAAGAAGAGTTCTAAAATACTGATTACAATATATAAGTTGTTTTCCCAAACCTGACAGTTCCTAACAATCCAAAAGTTCCTAACATATATTAAAGACGAATTTTAGTAATAATACTTTTATTAAATGTGGATATTGGTTATATATTCTTATTAAAATAAGATATAGGGCAATTTAACAAACCTTGTGAATTTAAAAAAATACCTTACATTAATAAGATAATTTCAAAAACACACAAACACAAATAGTGTGATTATATGAAACCTATTTTAACAGCTTAATAGAGTTCTTTGTCTCTGAACCGAGCATACCCCTTGGATTCGCTGGGTTCTATGTGAAACTTTGAACCGGCTGCACCACCCACCAACTCGAATCCGCACAGACAGCCAACCGGAGCTGGAGCCACCGACTTTGGCAATGGACTATCCAAGTGGGGTGGTGACCGGCTAATTCGATTAGGCGGCTTTAGCGGCTTTAGACTAAAAGTTCTAAGGCTGAATTAGAGTTTCAATGTCATGTCGCGAACCTCTCCTCGTAGCCCTCCTCCAACCAGCTGCACTTGCATATCGGATGTGGGCTTTCGATTTCCAGTCACGAAGTTGTCCAGCTCCACAGCTCCGCACTCCACACTTCTGATTTTGGCCGTGGGCCATTTGATTAAGGCGTCGCCGTAGAAATCAATTCCGGCTTGTGGCAACTGTCGGAAAAGCTGGTGACAAACCTGCCAAGTTTATGGCTCAAACGGCCAAACTATCTAAAACTGTTTTGTACCGATTCCAGAGCCAATTGAACGTAGAATAATTCAAATGATTTATGGCAAATGCAAATGAAAAGTTGTAATTTATATGACAGCAGCCACTAATTGTGGGTATGTCACAGTTCCGTCCAGCGGCTGAAAAGTAATATTATGAATTTCTGGGAATATTTCCATATTCAAATTGACCCTTACACGTGTAAGTACTGCATTGTATTTGATCTAGACCAATCTATACACAATAATTTTTAATCAATATTCTTAAATTATGAATGTGTTATTAAACTAAATACTAATTATAATGCCAAGAAGTTTGTCTATGTTATAACATGATAATTGGTTTGCTACTGCAACTTTAAAATCTAAGCCACTTTTTACATATTAAATTAAATACATTTAATATTTAAAAAGTTGTCTAGACTTAATTTCATTTTATTTACTGCCATGCTTTGATATAACAGGTTAATTGGTCATATCAATTTGATATAATTTAAAAAGTAGTTTTGCTATGGATATTCATGTCTTCGATTGGGAGTAGTAAATTAATAAAATAAATTAAATTAAATAATAAAGCGAGATCGCGGTACCTAGTTAAGTTGTACGGTATTAAATAGCAGCAGAATATGATAAATCGACTTGTTTTCATTGGTTAGTTAGCATTTCAATTAATAATTAATAGGAGGACGCCCACTCATTGTATGAAACCTTAATCGGCCTGACTTGTTCCTTAAATAATTGTGAAATGACTGCTTGAGCAATCTATTAATATTGATAAATGGCCCAAGTGCTGACACCTGGTGTGAATTTGCATGTGGCCTTGGACTGAACGAGTTTTAACTAAACGTTTGAACTACTTCACAATAATCACAGTTCTTGTGGAAAGTTCCCCAGTAATTGTCTTCGGATCAGTTGATAAGACAAGAGGGGTTAATTAGTTTTCTGCTGGAGATAAGCCCAGAGATAACATCGAAACATTTGATTACTTGCGAGCGTTTAGCGAAACATTCAATCATCTTGATTGTATTTACAAATTGCCAGCCATCTCGAAGCTCACTTAAACGGCGTTAATGTGATTTTAATTATCCGTATGCAAACAGAATCGCAACGAGGCGATGACGGCGGCCAGTTCAGCACTTTGAAGTCGTTAATAGCGCTAGAATATCATATCACTCATGCAGGTTTACAGTGGGCCCAAGAAAGGTGCAATTTTGGGTAGTTTTAGCACTAAAACAAAGCACAACTGAACAAAGAAATAACTAATCAGCGAAATGCATAGTTAAGCTTTTATTAGCATACCTCAAAAAAGATTAAGTCCCATATATTCCAGAATAAATCCCAATAGATTCAAATCATACCTGGGAATTTCTCACAAAAAAAAAAGCTGGAAATTAATCAACAAATGCCGTTCAATGGAACATTTTTATTGCATTCATTTCCGTTAGAAAATTAAAATTGAACAATATAATTAATTACACAAACAGCGCTTTATTGGTTTAAATCTTTATATCTTTCTTGACTGTTGACTGAATAATTACGGGTAGTCACTCGACCAACTATTTAACTTATGCGTGTAAATAAGTTATGGTGCCGTAAAACATTTGTAAGTGTCAATTAGTTCGATATCGGCGTGCATAATCCAAAAGACCCCACAAAAGGTGCAAACTGGTTTTAGCACCAGTTCGCCAATTTGGGCAGCTCAATAAACTCATACTTCAGGCGATGTTTAAGAGATTTATTGAGGATCATTAGATGCATGACGCCGCCAAATGGAAGCTGCAAAAGGGAATAATAATTTAGATACAGAGTGCAGGGGGACCTATTAAATCAAAAATAGCCATATAAACACATGTATGTTCCTCAATTAAAAAGATGTATAATCTTTTAGTCACTCACCGGATACAGAAACAAATGTGGTTACAATTATAAATAACCGAAAAATTGCAGCTGCACGCAATCGACACAAATTGAGTCATCCCGTGAAAAGAAAGGAATTCTTAAAAGCGGGACAATGAAAGGAGGCGCGACTTTTGGACCTTTTGAGTTAAATTTAGTACTCCACATTTGAGTGGGCCAGATCAGCTGACCAGAAACGAGTTTCCCGAGCAGAAAGTCACAAAAAAGCCAGACAGAGTAAGTGGCCGAACCGCTGACTAAAATAATAAATAATAAATAATGTAAACAAAATTATCCATGAAAAGTTTCCAGCGATTGTGCATGATAAACAGTTTTGGCGACAATTTGCATTTTTTGTCTGCTAATTGCGGGCCATAAAGACAGTTCGGTTGAATAATCCATAAACAAAATATGTAAAAATCTGTCTGATTTGTCTAGGAAATCGAGGGAGTTAATAGTCGGAATAATTCCGTGATAATAATGTGGGGGAATCGGAGAGATCCCCTGTATTATTGGGTGATAATTGGCGCTCGAGAGCGCGCGCCAAATTAAACAAACCGATTCGACGGCGAAGAATGTAAATATGCCCCGCCGATCCAAGGGAATCCGTCGATTTGTGGGGGAAAACGGGGGAGAGAGACCTCCACAATAGCAATAGCTTTTTGTATTTCTTTCTTTTGTCGCATATTAATTGAGCCAGCGGCGTGCGCTCCGCTTTTTGCCCGTTTGCACGGCCAAAATAAAAATAAGCGACAGCTGCGAGCGGTAAGTAAACAAAAACAGAACGGGATTCTCGGCCGGACTGCGGTGGGAAAATCATTCACGGACGGAATAGTACGCATACGCCGTGTGGGTTTTAATTGCTTTAAGATTTTGGGGGTGTGCCACTCGGCATGTTTACTCAGTACTTTTAGGGCCATTAAAAACATTCCATGTTTGTAGCAGTACTCATACGCCCCGTGGGCTTTAATGTGAAAGTAGTTGGGGTGTGGATCATGAAATATATTATATTTTTCATATTTTTATGTTTATTTGCATTTGTCTGGCAGTAGGTTTTAACTTAAAATTAGATTTTTTTAATTACATTCAATTCTAATAAATAAATTTTCGTATTCACATCACACATATAATTTTTCAAATGTTCTAGTTTCCATTTAAAATGTAAGTGCCTTTAATAAGCGGTTGTGAAATAAAAGTGTTATTTTCGGAAAATTTAAATAATAGATTATAGTACCATTGATTAATAGGTTTGGGTCATACGATAAGTTGTATTTTATGAAAAAGTGAGATGTTTGAGACACATTGTACGTATGTGCACATTTAAACTTACAGTATTGAGTTTAGTTATTAATAAAGTATATTGTTATTTGGATCTTATCCAACATTACAAATAAAATAAGTTAATATTTTTGATTAATTAATAATTTATTAATTCTAAAAGAAAGTGTGATTTTAGAAAGCAATGATCAGAAGCTAGAAATGTATGCTTTTAGTTCCTAAGAACTCAAACATAATAGTCCCTTATACTTAGATTAAGTAGTTAATGTAAGTGCTTTCTTTTTGTAATGATCTTTCTAGTAAATAACTAGATTAAAAGAGAGTTCCTTTCTTAACTGGTCACCTGGTAAACTGACCTTGATAGTTAGCACACTTAAAGCCTCTCGACAGCACTGCACTAATTTCGAACCTGTTTCCCTGTGGCTTTTTTATTTATTTTTATTCTTGTTTAATTCGGCAAGAATAAAATGTCAAGAACCGTTGACCGCAGACCGCAAAACATAACAAACAAACGCCCTTCTCATCGGAAGTGCCGGATGGCAAGGGAAAGGCCCATCTTGGAAAGTCCAGGAAACGGCTGAAAACTCGATTGGTCTCGATGGAGAGTGGAAACCAGTCTCGTTTCCTCTCCCCGGCAGTGATATATGAGCAAATAGACTGCGATATAGCCCATATAGCCAAGCGACCGAACCGACCGATCCGATTCGTATGCGATCGACCGCCGGCGGTTGGCTTTATCCAGCGCTTCTCGCTTCTCTCAGTCGCGAATAAACAGCCGGCGGTGCGAGGCTCTGTGCTAAGATCGAGTCCATATATATATTCTCTCGCCTCGATCCGGTGGCTATATAAAGTGCAAACGGGGCTGATGTCTGGGCATTCATTGTTTGCTCGCAGGCAAATCAACTCCCCAACCGAAGGACCAAAGGATTTCGGGCCATAAATCCAATCCAAATTCATTCATCATTAATCTTGCTCCGAGTCTGAGTCCCAGTCTCAGGAATTGTGTGTGTGCTTGTGTACTCTACTGTTTATCAAAGCAAAGTCAAATTAAAAGCCAAACAGCGCCAAATACAAACAACGATTCGTCGGCTGTGGAATAAACAAAAAAATATCGCAAAACGTGCGCGCCAACAAAAAACCGAAAGAAGGGAAAAATTCGCTATAAATTTTCCCGATTCCACGCCCCTTCTTCGTCCCAATAAATTGTTTGCCTACGTAGAACAAAAGAAAGCATTTTGCAATAAACAAAACCCAGACAATATGGAAGTGCAGAAATTACCAGATCAGTCGCTGATATCCAGCATAATGCTCGATTCCAGATGTGGGGTAAGTGTGGCTACAGATCGCAGATCGCAGTTCGCAGTTCATAGATCACCGATCTCCGATCACCCTGACCCACCACCACCACCACCACCACCCACACCTTGGGTGGCAGTGAATAGCTCTATAAATACCAGTGGGGCATCCAATAATAGATAATAGAGGTCTCGGTTGAAGTCATAAGTGGAAGTAAACAAAACTCAAAGGCCAATTTCTGGGGGAGCAAGGCAGCTAATTTTGTAATTTGGCATGTGCGAATTTTCCAAATATTTTCGGGATTGATTTTATGGTCCATCTGCGAGTGTACTTGGCATTTATGGCGCAAAAGTTAATGAAACGTGATGTGATATTCGAATATTTTAATGATCCTTACATGCAGATGGAGAAATTTACAATAGAGAACCTATTACTTGTTGTACAGTTTGAAGCCAAATTAGGAATTCTGAATATTTAGGAATTCTCATAATATTAAAAAAACATAAATAAGAGATATTCCATTTAGAATAAAAACAAAGTTCACTGAAAGCCGTGATTAGCAGTCTCAAAACTTAAGCAAATATTATTTCGCGATTTCAAATATAACCTGAAACAGCTGAATAAACAATTATCAAAAGTGCTCATAAAAAATAACCTTTTTTCCTCAGTGCTGGATAACATTTTTGATAATCATTCCATCTTGTCTGTCGCTTAACTCATTAAAATTATAAACAAGCTCTGTCAGGGGGCATCAGGATAAACCAGCTTAAGGTGTTTATATTAAACATAAACAACAGTAAATTAAAATCTAACGATCTAACGACATTATAACGACAAAATCCTGCAGTTCAGATAGTCAGATGCTATATATTTTAGAGTACACTACGACGGCGACCTTAATTTCAGTTGTATAATTTATGGCTCCTGTCGGTGGCGTACATGAAAAACAAAATTTAGAGAAATATAGTCGGTGGAAAATGGAAGTGGAAATGAAAATGCACGGGGATGGCGTCGCGTCGCTACATGTGCTACAAAATATACAAAACAAATTAAAATGCCTTTCATCTAAGAGCCATAAATAATAATGTTTTCTATACGCCGCACGTCTTTCCTCCACCTCAAACCCACCCAGAAAAAATAATAATAATGTCTGAACGATTTGTTTTGTCTGCTCCCGCATTTGCAGCTGAACGACTTATATCCGATTGCCCGGCTGACACAGAAAATGGAGGACGCCCTAAGTGTTTCTGGGAAAGCTTCGGCTTCGGCTTCCGTCGATAAGGACTGCCCCTATACCATCGAACTGATCCGTCCCGAGGATGCGGATGCGGTGATAGCCATGCTCAAGAGATTTTTCTTCAAGGTAAGTCAGACTCCCCAGTTCCCACATTCCCCATACACCTTATTTTATTGTATTGTAATAGACGGGGAATTTTAGATTCGTTTGCATATCAGGGTAACCAATCAAGCTGAACACCTGCCTTTCCGATTAGGGAGTTCTGAATTTATATCTTCCATTATATATGCCAAATAATTGGAAACGAAAGGCAGCACAAAGGTGAATTTAAATAATGTTCCAACGAAACGCAATTAGCACGGCCACATGCCCCTGCGATCGTCTAAATTAGGGTTTAATTCAGTTCGAAATTCGCACACTAAAAGTTGAATTAATTAAGTTATGCGTTGACTAATCTCGGGGAATTTATTCACCCAGTCCCCGGGAATTGTTATTTGGACTCCACTAAAATCGGAGCAAAGTATTCGGCTGTCGTGAGGCCTTTTGACAAGATCCATGTCACGGCTAACTTTCAGCTGGTCTTGCATCACGACTCTTGACGATCTGAAACCAATATGCTCGGTTGATCTTGACTTGATCAGGTTCTAGTTTCCAGCCGGCCAATGAGAATGCTCCCCCTTCGGAGACCAGAGACCCATTGGATAATCAAGACCTATATTTAAATATAAAAAGTCAACGCGGATTAGTATGCATGCCATGCCATGCCCTCCGGCGATAATGGCAATATGCAAATCAAGTTCCGTTCGCAATTCTCAAACTGTCTCTATAAATTATTAGAAAATCTCGCCATACCACACGCGTGCATTAATCATTTAAATTGCTGATTAATTCCACGATCGTGTCGCGTAATTTGTTTAGATGAAAGATCCTCAGATTGATCAGCAATCGGGATTCCAAATGGGTGGCTTAATAGGTTGTTGAACTGGAATTGCCTTCTAACACTTTCTAAACTTTGCCGTTGCAGGATGAACCCCTCAATACCTTTCTGGATCTGGGAGAGTGCAAGGAGCTGGAGAAGTATTCCCTGAAGCCACTTCCCGACAACTGTTCATACAAGGCGGTCAACAAGAAGGGCGAAATTATAGGCCTATTCCTGAATGGATTAATGAGACGTCCGGTGAGTGAATGATAATAATGATAATGCTCACCTATTCTTAACTAGTGTTTATATGATTTATAAACAGTCACCCGATGATGTGGCCGAGAAGGCGGCCGATTCTTGCGATCATCCCAAATTCAAGAAGATCCTGTCGCTGATGGACCATGTGGAGGAGAAGTTCAACATCTTCGACGTATACCCTGACGAGGAGCTGATCCTGGACGGCAAAATCCTGTCGGTGGACACCAACTACCGGGGCTTGGGCATCGCCGGGCGCCTGACGGAGCGAGCCTACGAGTACATGAGGGAGAATGGCATCAAAGTGTACCATGTGCTCTGCTCCAGCCACTATTCCGCCCGGGTGATGGAGAAACTGGGCTTCCACGAGGTGTTCAGCATGCAGTTCGCCGACTACAAGCAGCAGGGAGAGGTCGTCTTCAAGCCGGCGGCACCACATGTCGGCATCCAGGTGATGGCCAAGGAAGTGGGCACGGCGAAGACGGCGCAGACGAAGCTGTAGATGATCTGAATTTGGATTTTGTACTATGTGATTCTTTAGTTTGTAGTTCGGTGGCGGGTTCCCAGTAGTTCCATGTCAAGTGTTTTCGATTCAGAGTAGTATAAACAAACAGTACAAGTTACGTATTTATCTAATTTAATTCGCCCGTTGTTGCGACGCTAAACTTAAGTGTTTTGTGTTTAGAACGAGCTCAAAAAATAAAAACATTGTCTTTAAAATAGATGGGCTAACCATGGCTAACCCCTGACCACGCGGGCGTTCGACTTCCGCTTGTTGGAGCGATTGGACTTGTTGCGTTTGGCCTGGGTCCTCTTGGCGTTCAGTTTGCGGTTGCTATTGTTTTTGCTCTTGCTCTTGGAACTGCTGCTGGTTGTTGGGCTGGTCACACGAATCCTTCTGGTAATGTTGTATTTCAGATCGGTTATGTACACTTTTTTGGGGGACTGAGACAAGGTAGAACTATAATCGGAGGTAGTGTTAGTGGTGTTCTGCGCACGCGAAGCATCCAGGTTGAAAAGGACGAGGACCACGATACAGATGCCGCCGATCAGAATAATTGACTTCATGTTGGTAGTAAGATTGTTGGGTATATGCTTCGATTGATGCGACCGGAGTGCTTAAGTAGTCGCTCCCCATTTGTTTACACAGTTTGAAAATCGTTTGCGAAGGCCGACTACAGCGTAGAATTTAGGCAAAATACTTAGTCGTTTGCTTTTCCTTGAACCAAAACAAAAGTTTAAAAAATATCTATCTGCTTTCACGTTTAATTTGGCCAAAACAAAGAGGGAAGTGGGATTACTTAGCCGTCGTCTGGTTGAAGGGACTCCTGGACATGCGATCCACCATGCGACGCACCTGCTCCTCATTGCCGTATTTCTGGGCATCGGCCACAACGGCTGCATGGTGTGAATTGGCTTCTGCCGAGATTTCGTCCTGGAGCTGGCGACTCAGGTGAAAGGAATGCCTGTAAGGACTTGCAATTAGACCAATTTCAATGGTATTCCAATGGTAAAACACTCACCTGACGGAGGTGAAGCCAAAGAGTGCCCCAAAAATCCCGAGGGCCATTAGAACTAGGGCCACCTGCCAGTTGGAGACCCTTTTAAGACCCCTGATGCCATAGTAGGGTCCTGGATTGGGATCATAGTTGGGTTTCACATCCCACGGCTGGCCGGGATTACCTGTTTCGCCCACAGGACTGCGATCCGAGCGCGTGGGCTGCCACAGCAGACTGTCATCGTAATCCCGCCGCCTCTGCGGCTTTATCAGCGTCCTATAGGCCTCGGATATCTGAACAAATCGGGCTGTTCTCTCGGGGCACACAGCATTGCTCTTGACATCTGGATGATACTAGAAGGAAACCAGGTTTGAACAGGTTCTTGGGGGATCTTGAAGGTACCTACCAACTTGGAGAGCTGGACAAAGGCATTGCGGACATCTCGGGTGGTGCAATCGTTGCGTATGTTCAAAACTTCATAGTGCGTTTCCGGGTTTTTGGTCTTTTCGTGGGAAAAACTGCGCAGTGAGCAAATGTTTACTTTACATAACAATTGTTTTACCAACGAGTCCTTACTTACGCCTATAGGATCCAGCTCCTGTCCGCGGCGAAAGACACAACCTCAGCATTGTAATCTGGTAAATATTAATTGTTTTGATCTGTGGCAGTAACCATAATTTTGAGCTATAATTTTTGTCGAGGGACGATAGTTCATCCCGATAGGCGATTTAGTATATGTGGTATATTTTGTAATGAATGGATTGTGACCCTGGCAATTTACGGGCATATTTTGGGCGCCATAGTTTGCCGCCATGGGTTTTTAAGTTTTTCATGGTCTAATGCAGGAGGACTTCCTGCGGTAAGAATAGTTTTACTAAATTGTGTTAAGTTATGTTCCCTAATGTAATTTCTACTAGAATTAAAGGTTTAACCGGATCGGTACGGCTTGATTACAACAGTACACTTTTGAGTGCGCCTTACCGCCATACTTATTGTTTTCTCTACCAATGAACGTAAAAACATTTTTTTTTAGTTTTATTCAAAAAGGACTACATTTTGCAGATTTGCTGTTATAGATAAGGAATGTAGTAAAGTTAAAATTTCATTCCTGTTTTGCGAGGTTCATTGAGTCATCGCCGTTAATAAAGGCCAGAAACTCATCCACGGATGGTTTTCCGTTAGAAACTTCAGTATCATTATGGAGGCCGACCTCAATTTCAGTAAACCGGAAACGGAAGTTCGTTTCTTTGTGTACTTAGCGATGGCGACGGCCAGGAAAACCAGCGAATTCACTTTGAATAGAACCTGATCCTCGTCAAAGCTGATAAACAAAAGTCCAGCAGGTTCACGAGTTCTGGCTCCCCTGGCGTGGCTCTATTCGGTCCGCCGTAGTCGTTACGAAAGTACGGAATTTTGATCAATTGCCTTGGGCTTTTTCAAACGGCGCTTTTCGCGCTTCACATAGGTGGTTGATTTCAATTTCGATAGTTGATTCGAAGTAAGTTGGCAGCTCTGGGCGGTGAAACAGCAAGTATCGATAGCTAGCCAGCGCTGCCAGACCGTTTTAGTGAGCGCTAGCAACAGAAATAACAAAAATTTCATTGAATAATTTTGATTACTAATTGACAAGGAAACCAACATGAGCGGTGCAGAAAAGGCCTTCGAATTGCAGCGCCAGGTGCGCCAGAATGCCAAGGAGTATGAGAACTCGGTGAAGGACCTCTACTCCTGGGAGCGTGACATCAAGAGCAAGGAGAAGGAGCTGCAAAAGGCGCCGGCGTCTGCCGCCAATAAGGTGAGCTTCTAGTGGCCTGTTCATTCCGGGAATACAATGTCTTTCTGCAGAACCTGCCAGTGCGCAGTCATGGGAAGTCGGAGAAGGACAGCCCCAGCAGCTCGGCGGCCAGCACGCCCACGGAGAAGCAGGATTTGCCCCTGGATCCTGTGGCCCAGCAACACAAGAAGGCCAATGACATAAAGGATCGTGGCAATAACTATGTGAAGCAGGCGGAGTACGACAAGGCAATCGTGGCGTACTCCGCTGCCATTGGTGTCTATTCCCACGATCCTATATACTTTATAAACAGGGCCTTGTGCTATCTCAAACAGGAGCGGTAGGACTACACAAGAATATTCTAGAACCTTATAAACTAAACCCTTTCGTCCTTCTAGTTTCGAAATGTGCGTGGAGGACTGCGAGGCCGCCATTTCGCTGGACAAGCTTTGCGTTAAGGCATACTACCGGCGAATGCAGGCCAACGAGTCCTTGGGCCTCAACATGGAAGCTCTCAAGGATTGCACCACGGTGCTGGCCATTGAACCCAAAAACATCGAAGCCAAGAAGAGCTTGGCTAGGATCAACGAACGCTTGCGCAAGAACGGTAAACATAGTTAATGTTTTGCTCATTTACTTCGCTGCTCCTTAGCCATTATTAATGCTAAAAGCTAATGACAATCATTATTTTACTTACAAGATAGCTTGCAAGATCAATATAACTAGGTCCAATAACATTTACTTATACTTTTGTAACACATAAGTTGAATTATTGTAGCTATTCCACCTCGTTAATGTGATTTGTAAGCTATAAATTGTTTATTATATAGGGTAGTACCTTATGTTAGTTAATTATCTAAACAAAAATCGTGATTATCAAATACTTACGTATATTCGTGTTCTTTCAGCCACAAAAAGCGGTCCAAACTTCACCCCCGATCGTCCTGGAATGATCGACATCTTGCCATTTGACAAGCCTGTTTATAAGCGCTCCAAGAAGGCCATGCATCGAGTGACCATTGTGGATGTGGTATCTCCTCGTGGAAGCAGCGATGACACCAACAAACTTCGCATTTCAGATGAGGACATAGACAAGATTTTTAATAGTAATTGTGGCGCATTCGAGGAGGTCAAGAAACCGGATGTAAAGACTCAAGTAAAACCAAGTCCACTTGAAACTGTGCCAATTGTTGAAAACTCCAAAGAAGTAAAAAAAGAAACCAAACAGAGTCAAACCAAAGCAGATTCTGGTCAAGAGGCCTCCAAAGAAACAAATAAGGATACAAAAAGTAAGGCTGATGTAAAGCAGAATCAAGTAAAATCAATTTCACCCAAAACTGAGACAATCATTGAGGCCTCCAAAGAAGTAGAGAAGGAAACCAAACAGAGTCCTCCTCCAGTTGAGGAGGCCTTCAATAAAACAAAGAAAGATACAAAAAGTAAGGCAGAAGTCGAAAAAAAAGCGGAACAAAGTTCACATAGCAAATTGCCTGTCGAGATCCCCCAAGTTCAGAGTCTCGACTCGCCACCGAAGACAACCGAAAAATCCAGCACAGAAGTCAAGGCGGCCAATGTCAAGTCAAGTCGAACTGAAAAGATCGAGCCAAATTTAAGGAACAACGAAATGCCAGCCAGTCCGTTGGAAGTTAGTTCACTAATAACGAAACCTAAGCTGTATTAAACCATTCATTTTTTTAGCGTTCGGTGCCTCCTGCGCCTACAGGCACAGCCCAGTTCCATGTCACCTGGAAGGAACTGAGTGCTTCTCAGAAGTACCAGTATTTGAAGTCCATTGAAGTATCTAATCTTTGTAAGATCTTGGGAGCAGGTTTCGATCCGGATACATTTGCGGACATCCTGCGCACCGTTCAAGACTATTATGTACCAAATAAGGAGCCCACCACGGCGGCTGTCCTCTTGGAGGTCAGCAAAAATGACCAGTTTACCATTTTAGCAATGCTCATGTCCGCGGAGGAGAAGAAGGGTAAGTAGTAGCGAAATCATGCCTGTAAAGCGTATGGATTAATTTCTTACTTTAATCTTTTTCAGTGGTTTCTTCTATTTTCAACGCATTCAAAAACTGGCCCAACAAAAATCAGGGTGTGCTGGATAAGCTATCGAAGGCTTACGGCGTGGCGTAAAACCCCAATGTTTCAAGTTTAAATGTACTTATGTTGCTTCAAATTGTTAGCTCAAAAACAAACATTATAAATTTAAAGAGGATGTGTAGATAGGATCCACAATATGTTACACAGAATGCGAAATGTATTTATTTTAATGGTAATTAGATCCGCTAGGTGCGGTTCTTTGGCTTGGATGGGCATTAGTTACGCTAGTTGTGTATTTCTCAGTCATGTGACTCATCTATGAAGTTAGTATTTATATTAGCCCTAATTAAATATGCAGAAGACCATTTGAGCAAACAAAACCGTTCTTGCCCTGCCAGACCATGAATATTGAATAACCAATTGAGTAATACGAATTAGTGTAAATTACATAAATCAGTGGATTAATTCAATCTGCGAAGCCACCTAAAATGGGCTTTCCAGCAAGAACAACAACTCCATTAAGCGACGTTAAGTTGGAAGCGCTGATCAGTCGGGGGACCCGATTCGCGCACATATCATTACAGCGACACCCGCCGGAGGAGAAGCAAAAGGAACCCAAGTCGAGGGGAGGCAGATAAAGCCAGCATCAGCCCAATCCCAGCGAGTATCGCGGGCGACGGGGCCCAGGCGGTACGCTAATTGCGTGAGAGCTGGTGTACTAAGCACAGGGGCCGGGTTTTACTTAATCCCATTGTTGCCGCCGCTAGTTATAATTTAATTTACATGTTTCTTAACAAACGCTGGCTGCGATTTATCTCGGCGCGAGAGAATCCGCGAGAGCGATTGGTCCAGTGTTGCCGCGCCGCTTGACACCCGGAAAGATGCTGGATCCCGACAAAATGTAAGACTACAGGGTATCTGCAATTTATTTCACGGGGTCCAATTTATATGGTTGAAAAAGCATTAAGTGCAATTTTTAGTGAAGTAAATAAAAAAAAAAATTGATTGTCTGAATTTAAAAACATCTAAAACATTTAATGGTTACGCCTTTCAAAGCCCATTTTTTATTCCGGTAAATTTAAGTATTGATCGTTTTGTGTAAAAAAGAAATCTATAGTATATACATATATAAATATTAAATATTACATTTTTCAATGCGATTCTGAAATAAACAATTAAGAAATTATTGCACCGTTGCCGCAATCTGCCATTGCTCTGGACAAAGAGTTTACAAAGGTATTCAATTTAAAATCTAACCCGTAATTTTTGAATAATTCATTAGATATATATTTGTATAGATCTGAGACTGCAGTGAAGTGGCATAGAAATTTCAGTGAAGTTATAATCTACATTTTTATTAATCCCTTAAAGATATCGTTGCACCGGGTTTATTAATATAATTTATAGTTTATTAGAAACAATACTTTTGGTTTAAAACGATGGTATCAATTTGAGTACCATTTGAGTACCATAGTTCATAAAAAATATATAATTGAAGGTATAAATTAAAAATGTGTTATTAATTTTTAGTTAATTCATTAAAAACCGATCTGCAGTCGCAGTGGCAACCCCGCGCTTGATCGACCAGCGCAGCGTTTTCCGACGCTTTTCGGGAGAGCGTGGAATGGAACGGAATGGAACGGAACTGAGCCGAATTGAGCCGAACCGCTGAGCGCGTTAGTTGAGCTTAGCAGTCCAAGCGACTTGGATATAGATATAGTCGCTCCGCCGTGAGATAATCGCGGTTAGTCGGGGAGAATCGAGGGAATTGCGATCTTGGAAGCAGTTGCATCGACTATACACGGAGCGTGAAATACTAAATAAAAAACGACGAACGACAAAATAAAGCAACAAATTCGTAAACAATCAAAGTAACGGCGATTTGTGCGAGTGTAAGTGACGTTGTGCGAGAGCTTGTGTGCGACTAATTTAAAGCCGACTTTAGTTTAACTAAGATTTTATTAACGAAAAACCAAGGGGAAAAACAAAAAACCCCTTCTCTTGTGCAGTGATCAAATGTTTAAAACAATATTTAATAGCTATACTAGAAGTGCACATCAAAGCGAGTCTTTGTGAACAACTGGAAATTACGCAAATTCTGTTTAAAAGCCAGTAAAACATGTGAGAAACGAGTGATTTAGTAGCGATTTCACTAACGTGCAAAAATGTGTTGGTAGCAGCCAGTGCGGCGTATACGTAACGCCGAATCTTGTCAAATCTATAAAGAAGAATCGTTCAAAACAATGGGCCCAGCCTCCCACTGAAACAAATAGCGTTGGAAAATCAAATAGCGTAGTTCACCTTTCATTCAGCCACAACAATAACACTCCGTCGGCCAGAAGAATGCGGCAAAAACAAAACAGAGGTTTTTTTCTGCATTATTTATTTGGTTTTTGTGTGTTTCCCTCGGCTTTGTTTTTTTTTTTTTTATGTTTTGCCGTCGCCAAGTGCACGTCTTCATTTCATTAATTTTAGTTCGATAGCTATGCTTTCGGGCCGCCGGACAACTCGGAGATTACTTCGATCTTCGTCTCAACCTGTGCCAAGCGCAAAAAAACAAAATGAAAAAAAGATCAAGCAAAATAAAGGCAAACCAGCAAACGGCAAACAGCAAAAACGTGTCCCATAGCCCAAAAAGACGCTCACAACAACAGCATCGGGCCAACACATAAAAGTGAACCGGTTGGTTAAGTTTTCGAGCACCAGCAACAGTAACAGAAAATGAAAAAAAAAACAACAGAAGCAGAAAGAGCAGCAGCACCCCTCTTTAAAGTCCCCTGATCCTAAATGTAGCGGCAATAATATGTAAAAGCCGAGAAAAAATCAGAAAAAAAAAATATATCAGACAAAAACGCGCGGCGATACTTATAAATAACAATCTAGATGGCTAAGAAGAAGCCACCTCAGCTCAGAAAGCTGTTTAGCATAGTTTATTTTAGCGCTAATGGGCGGGGGAGGGGCTTCGGTTGGATCCGTTTAACTGGAATCCGAAAAAGATGCTAAATATGCGATCAATAACAAATGGAATATTCCATTCCTGTCCAAGCCTCGCCTCGTACCGACTTTCTTTTCTAACATCCGCTACATTTGCAATTCAAATTAAGTCCTCAGAGTAGCTTGGTACATTTTTGATTTTTGGCAGAGCGTTATCACTCCTTGACTCATATTTTGTATTGTTTATGACGCACTTCCTCCGCGGGATCATTTCCGACCAGATCTGATGAAATATATGTTTTCGGGCTCGATCGATGCCCCGCTATTTGGCCATATAGTTAGGCAGTCGGTGCTAATTAACTTGATTACTGACGCCTTTGCCAAACATCTTGATAATCTCATCTGGGTTTTTGGGCTGGGCACTCTGGTCAAATTAAAGTCATGGGTTCAGATTTTCGGCAAAGAGTTAAGGTACTAGCCATAATTGACTTGTTGGCCGAGTGAATCCCATGCCAGCGGCAATTAGCACAGCAAAAACAAAATACAATTTATTCATATTTATGGCTCAATTTGATCGTTGCTTACGTGCAATCGTGTTTTTTTTCGAACCGCCGCACGCCATTTGAGAGCTGCGAGATGTCGTACAGTATGGTCTCGGTGGATTTATTGAAATGCTAATAAAACGCTAAATGCCCCGGCATGATGAGCCAGCCAATTTAGCGAATGCCAAAGCCCCAAAAGCCCCAAGGATGAGGTTAAAGCCACAAAAGAAGTCAAGCGCCCTGCGAAGCCCAAGTTATTAACTTCCGACTCCGTAATAGAAGCGGCGAACAACAAATCAATAGCCGGACAACTACAGGTTTTTGTTTTCTTCAGCCATCTTCAAGTGAAACTCGCGGCACGATCGTGAGTCTGGCTTTTTTGGTTGAGTTTATTTTTAGTTGCCCTGCCGCCGGACTAAATCAAATCACTTGAGCATTTCATTATATTATTATAGGAGGAAGCGTTCTTTATCCGACGGGCAAACAGCCCCAGGCGAAGTACATATACAAATGTATATGAAAGCCAAGGCGTTAATTCAATCAAAATCATTGCGACGAAACAGACATGACAAAGCGGAGGCAAAGTCTCGCTTCAGAAACCACTTTCAGTCATCAGCGACTATTCGCATCGCATAAGCGAAGAGTTAAAATCAGCCTTGGTTCGATTTAAAGTTTATTACAAAATCGAATACCCCGTATTTTTCGCTAAAATGTCGTGTATTTCGAACATGCTATGTGGATCTCTGTCATTGCGCATACGCCATGTGTGCTAAAAACACCTTTCATAGCATACATTTTGGCTTATCTGCGCTGAAATTTCATGCTGTGGCACTCGATATTAATTTGCATTGCTAAATAACTCAACGGCGTGTCATTTATGTTACTTTTATTCACTGCAAGTCGAGTGTCACGTGTTGATTTTGATGCAAATTAGTTGCTGCTGTACATCGGATGAAATCGTGTCGCGGCCCCCGTTTAAAAGCGGATAAAGCTCAGACGTCGCAATGCGATGCTGGCGTCGAAATCAAGACTTACTTATCCGGCACTTGTGTGTTTCTTTTTGGATCGCTCTGTTGCCAGACATCAGAGATATCAAATATGAATATATATATATGCCAATACGTTGCACCGAAGCATCTCACATTTGCACGCGGAACTATAATTTTTAAGCTATAAATGGAGGTTTGCCTTTAAACTATCTAATCATGGATAGTTTTTTATATTAATTTTTTTAATTCTCATTTTTTTTTTTTTTTCAATGTCAGTCGAATTTTTATATATTTATATATATAGATGTGACAAAGCGGAAGAGTCTGCTATGAACGATAATGTAATGTCTCAAATAACGTTTTACAAGGATTACACCGATTACAACGTTTAACGGCTTAAATAAAGCGGATTTGAAAGTGTTTTTCTTTTTTAATCAACATGTTAACACAAAACCTCTCAAATCGAATGAACAATTGAAAAACAGCTTTAAATCAAACAGTTTAAAAATATTTAACTATACTTTACATTGTTCCACCTACACTCAAAATGGTAGGTGTGCCAGCCATTTTGAATAGGTAATTTTTGAAAGAAATTTTTTGAATACCTTCTTAATAAAACAATAAAATTCCTAATCAAATTAAATTCTACGAAAACAAACTTAGTCATATTTGCGACCTATACGCAAACCTTGAATGGACTCCTTCTTTCAATCTCGGAAATTTAAAACGTTGGACTTCCTGTGTAAAGCAAAAATATAGATTTGAAGGGGGAACTTTCGGCAAAATTCTTTACTATTTTTAGAACACTTATCGCTGCATAAAAAATAATACAATCAAAACCCACTTTAATAAGAAACTTTCATTAAAAGCATTGTTGATCTTGACAGGAAACCTTTTATTTCTTCAGAGCTAAGAAATGTAAGAAAAAAGCCGGGTTGCTCTACATAATGGATTCCTGATAAGGTTAATCTAATTGTATATTTTAATTTAATTCTCAGATGTTTTTTGAATTTTGAAGAGGCAAGGCCGGTAGCTCATGGTCACATTTTTCCAATTTCTTACAGAGCGATCACCAGTCATGCTGTAGCCACAAAGACAGGATGCTTCTGAAGTGACTCGAATATGGACCTTGATTTTTTGGAACAGCTCTGTAAGTACGAAAGACAAAATCCATTCAATTACCACGAGTGTTTATGCACATATTTTCGGCAAGGATAACCAATTCAAATTCAAATGGGGTCCTTGGAGTGGCCCCATTGAAGGCTGGCCCGACTCTCCTCGTCATTGAAAACCAAAAACCAACCGAACCGAAAATAGACATAACGGGGAAATGGCCATTCTAGACTTTCAAATACTCTTAACCAGAAAGGTCACTGTACCAATAGGTTGTTAGAAAAAATTTCTGGGCAAGGAACACCATTAGCAAATTGTTTTAACCGGAATTGTTCACTTTAGAAGAATTACTTAACAACAAATGTAAAGCATATTTCTTCTTTCGTTTCCAAAAGAAAATATTAAACCTCTATATAAGTTTAATTTTACTTTTTATCAAGACCATCATGGTTACCTAGATCGATAATCGATAGATATTCTTCTAAGATAAAACTTAAGATTTTTATGCAAAGTTTGAATAACGTATGCAATAAATCATAATGCGATTTTTTTTTTCAAAAAAACATGTAAAAATGACTTGAATGAATTTTTAGGTAATATAGGTAATTTTAAAACGTTAAATAAAAACGATTATTTCTGAAATACAGAAATGGTGTCAGGAATTTATTAATATCTAACATTCTGATTGAAAATATGAAAATAAAGATACTCCCTTCCTGAAATTTAAAAGTAGAATTGAAATTGACTGGTAAAACTTTTGTTGTCCATTCTGAAAATTAAAAACCCACTTTAGGCACTTCTAAATTAAAGAAAGGGCATCCAAAATTGACTAGGTAAAAGTCCCCCCGTCTAAGGTTCCGCATCTCGTACACCCACACAGACACGGACAGACCGAGAATGAGACAATCAGGATATATGATAGCTGGAATCGTTTAATATATTTCTATACAATTTCGCTCCGACTAGCTGGGATTTGCATGCCACTTGTGCGGCACACGAAACGAGCAGGTTGTTTGATCAATAACCCCGACTTCGGGGGACGGAAGCCCAAATATTTGCACTCCGGTTATGATTTCGCTGGCCGCAGTCAGTGCTCAGATATTTCCAATCCACATCCGACGTATCGCATCGCCCAGTGACTAAACAAATAACAAAGAGTTGCAAATTTCAACCAACTATTGAGATTGTGGAAACAGTTTTCAGTGATTAAACAGGGGGATGCGGTGTACTACGAAAGCAATTGTAAAAATATTTATTAGAGAACAATTGCATAAACAGTGACTGCTATTTAAATCCCAATAAATGAAAAACGATGATCTGCTGCTGCTGAAGTTTCGCTGATTTGAGGGCTCAGGCTCTTATTTTTATTCCAAGCAATTAGGTTTCGTTTTCATCGTCGCTTTCGGTTGGTTACCATGCCGATTTGACTCGCTCTTGGTTTCAGTTTGGTTTTATAGTTTGATTATTAGTTTTTACTTGTTTTCAAAGCATTTTCCCTGCTCAGCGAGTTGTGAAGAGTGCATCAACCGTATGCTCGCTCATACGTGCGTTAGATAATTGTTTTCTCAGTTCGAAACGGAACGGCAGCAGCAGAATGCATCCAAAACGGAGGGTTACTGAAATCGAAACTCCATTTTGTTTCCATGGATGCTGGCAGTCAGCTAACTTGGCCATCAGTGCGATTCGTTTGGGCCAAGTCGCGAGGCGTTCGCGCTGAAAAAGGTTTCGGCGTCCTGCAGACGGGAACTCTCAGTGAAATCCGGTGACAAACGACAAATTAATTATGGACTATCCCAAGACTTTGAATGGTAAATGCTAACATAATCCCCCAACTGTCTGCATAAATTACACAACAATTTGCATTCGGCACGTCAACAATTTATTTTGGCCAAGTATCGATCAAACAGAGCGGGAATTTCAGGGCTTATCAGCGGGCTGTTCCCAGTTTTCAGTGCCCCGAATGTGTTTATTTAACTATAATTATCTCCTGGTATGGTAAACGCCCCCTCAGAAACGTGCGATATTTCATTTCTCTATAAAAGCGATTCCCGGACTTTGCTCTACTTCCAAGATAATAAAAAATTGTTTGCCTACATTACAATATTGGATGTCAATGTTTACTCATTAATTACGTAGCAGGGTAGCTTTTTTCCGACTGATTAGTTTATTGTTTCTTATATGGGAATATTCAATTTGTATATTTCTAGGGAACAGATTTCTATTTGAGATCCTTTTAGCTTTGTAGCTAGTACACACCTGTATTTCCAATTACCCTTCTCTTACGGAATATAATGTGATCTGTAGTAGGCAAAGCGCCTATTAATTGGAAAAATAACAAAACACCTTTTACCTCGACCACCAAACTTTTTAGGCACACTCAGTCTAATATAATTAACTAACAGGTTTTAAATATGTTTGGTTTCTCAAAAAGTATGGCACTGCCAATTATATTCAGAAAAAAAAAATAGGATGGTACACCATTCTCTATTTTATAAATATATGTATAATCCATTCTGCCGATTATATGCCTAGAATAATCTAGAATTTTTAAAGTATGCAAATCTTTCAGAGCTTTACATTCTTTCTTGTTATTATTACAATTTTGTCAATATTTCAGTTATTCAAATTTTGACCAAAATGTTATTTTGAGGGGAATTTCCATTATAGCACAAAAATATTTATTATCGGGGGTAACAAAGAAACATTTCTGTTGAATTTCGTTTGAAACATAAGATTTCTTTGCCTTCCCGGATACAGTGTTATTTTATCATAATTTTTTTTTAATTTACTTTTCTATTTATTTATTTATTTTGTTTCACAACCCGATGTAATATAACGTCACAATAACTATTTTATTTATTTCATCACAAAAACTATTATTAATTGGTTTAGTAATTTGATTAGTTACGAATAAAACCTTGTAATAACTAACGTAATTTTCCTGTGGTATTAGCTCCCCAAGATCTGGATGACTTAAATAGCGATGGCATAGACAATCTGGATCTGTTGATGGAAGGAGCCCTCGGCGACAGCATCCAATTGGGCCACAATGGCCACCTGTCTGGCGGGGGAGGAGTCCACTCCCACATGGAGTCGCCGCACACGCCGCCGATGAATGGCCTGGACTCCCAGTTAAGTGGCTGCGGGCGCATGGGCAGCACACCGCTGGCGACGCAGACTCAGACCCACGTGCATCCGCAGCTGCCGGAGAGTCCGCCGGACTCGCAGCCCGCCTACAGTCCGCTGGGCGAGGCCCATGGCATGGCGATGTCGGGGCGGGACCTCATCTATCCGGGTCTGCCGCCCATGCAGCACCAGGCGAACCTGCTCCAAACGGATCTGGGCCAATATGCCTCTCCTCCGCAGCAACATCACTTTGCGCCTCCACAGGCTGATGTCCGGATCAAGCATGAATCCGGACTGATCATCAATCCGGGCAACTTGCTGTGTCAGCAGCAACAGCAGCAGCAGATGCATCAACTGCAGCAGCAGCAGCAGCTCCAACACCAGATCAATGAGCAGCAGTTTGCGCCTCATCAGCACCAGGATGTGATCCTCCAGAACCATATGCCGTACTACGAAAACGGAGGTGGTGCGGGGATGTATTCGGCCAGCAGCTACCAGAACCTGCCCACCTGCACTGTGACCTCCACCGTGGGCTTGGATCGTGTCCAGGTGATCGGGACCAGCCAGTTGTCGCTGAACCGTGTGTCCGCCCCATCCACGCCCGTGCACTCTTTGTCCCGCAAGCGCAAGATGTCCACGCAGCTGGATTGTCCGGAGTTTGGGACGGCTCCCAAAGTGGATGCGGGCCTGCAGATGAGTCCCCTGCGCGCCTCCCACCACTCGCTGGCCACGCCCACTCCGGCGCCCTCCCACTGCTCCGCCTCCGTATCGCCAGCCCTGTCCGCCGTAAATTCGCAGGCGGACAACAGCCTGGACGGACAGCCCAGTGGGGTGGCCAACGGATCGGGTTCGGGATCGGGATCGGGATCCGGCAGCGAGGCAGGTGATCCGGCGGGGGGCCAGTGCATCCGGTTCAATGGATTCCAGCCGGAGAACTGGCACAAGCTGTTCGACCAGAGCCTGCAGGAGCTGTCTGTGATCTACTACCGCGTGGATGCGGACAAGGGCTTCAACTTCAGCGTCTCGGACGACGCGTACGTGTGCCAGAAGAAGAACCACTTCCAGGTTACTTGCCATGCGCGCCTCCAGGGCGATGCCAAATTCGTGAAGACACCGTCCGGTTTCGAGAAAATCAAATCCTTCCACTTGCATTTCTACGGCGTCAAGTTCGAGGCGCCCAACCAGACGATCCGCGTGGAGCAGAGCCAGTCGGATCGCTCCAAGAAGGCCTTCTATCCCGTACCGTGAGTATATCCGTTTACGCGATGAATTGATACTTAATAGAAGCGTTACGATATGTGAATAATGATAGACTTGTTTACCCGAAATGGTAACCATCACTCAGTAATAAGAATAATGTTGAACATAAATTCGTTTTGAAATCGACTAATAATAATTCATAAAAGCATTATAAATAATATATTAAATATATACATATATATATATATATATATATATACATATATTATGATAAAATATTATATCATGTTTTCACAGCAATTAGCTGATTAACTTACTCCGACTTCTTCTATTCTTGTTCATCTTGATCCTCAACCTTTTCTAATTGGTGTGATTCCCCAGCATTCGCGATCCAGTTTGTTGTTTGCTGGTTCGCAATAGTTCACAAGTTCAAAACAATATATAAACTCATATAAGGGGTATTCACTTAGAATATATTTTGAATTAGGCCCCAGGAAAATAGAAACGAATTTATTGCAGTTGATTAAAAGTCTTGACCAGAACTTAAAAATGCAGCATTATACATATGCACCAGGTTATAAAAAGATTTTTTTTATATAAAATACTAATATTTCAAAGATGTATTCTTGTGAAAAAACATATACACATGGAAAGGAAATAGTGTTTTTTAAGTGGTTTTAAGCCACAACAGAAATATGTGGTAATTTGTATCTTTCAAAATCCTTTAAAAATCACCTTTAAAGGTGTCCAAAAGAAGGTGGTATGAGAAACAGGACATCGTCTTTCTTGATTTTTAAATACTCAGTACATTTGGACTCAAAACATACGTAGCATACTTTAAAACTATTTTAAGAGGTTTAAAAACGAAAAGTTTTAAATATTTTTGTAGTAACTCAAAGTAATTAACCATTTCCCTTCCATGCACAGCATCGATCTCCAGAAGCACATCGTCAGCAAGATCACCGTGGGCCGCCTGCACTTCTCAGAGACGACGAACAACAACATGCGCAAGAAGGGTCGTCCCAATCCGGAGCAGCGCTTCTTCCAGCTGGTCGTGGGTCTCCATGTGCACACCATTTCCGGCAACTTTCCGGTGGTGAGTCACGGCAGCGAGAAGATCATCGTCCGTGCCTCGAATCCGGGTCAATTTGAGTCCGACGTGGACCTGTGCTGGCAACGCGGCCTCACCCCGGATTCCGTGGTCCACACGGGTCGCGTGGGCATCAACACGGACCGTCCGGATGAGAGTCTGGTGGTCCATGGCAACCTCAAGGTGTCCGGCCACATCGTCCAGCCGAGCGACAGTCGCGCCAAGCAGGAGATCGCCGAGCTGGACACGTCAGTGCAGCTCCGTAATCTCCAGAAGATCCGGATAGTGCGATACCGCTATATGCCGGAATTCGCAGTGCACTCGGGTCTCCGGCGGGCGAGCGACACTCGGGAGATCGAGGACACCGGCGTGATTGCGCAGGAGGTGCGAGAGGTGATCCCGGATGCAGTGCAAGAGGCTGGCAGTGTGGTGCTGCCCAACGGTAATGTCATTGAGAAATTCCTGCTGGTCAATAAGGTAAGAAATGTCCTCAGATTTGAAATATCCAGCAAATCCACAATAACACTTGTTACCTTTTAAAGGACCGCATCCTGATGGAGAACATCGGAGCCGTGAAGGAGCTGTGCAAGGTGACGGGTTCGCTGGAGTCGCGCATCGAGCACCTAGAACGTGCCAACATTGGCCAAAACAGCCACCAACTGCGTGCCAAGGATCTGCTGGAGCCGCGCTGCATCCTGCCGGAGCGAGGAGCACCCAAGCCCTTCGGCAGTCGGCGGGACGGATATGAGGTCTGCTCCAGCCGCTCCCTGCAGATCGTCATCTTCCTGCTGATCATCGTTATGGCAGCCTGGTGAGTAGGATCCTATATTCATTGCAGTATCTTTATAAAGTTATTCTTTTTCGTTTAATCCGTTTTGGTATATTGCTTAGGAAAATATCAAATCTTAAAGGATCCATTAAATATTTATATTATAAAAAAAAAAAATTTTTTAATATTTAGAAATATTGACTTGATATCAATAATTTAATGTAGTATTTTTGCTTTGCAAAAAGGTGACCCCGACCTAAAAGTTTGTGGCTCCATTTTCTATCATTTCCGGTTGATTAATGGTCGTTTTATAAATTTTATAACCAGAAAAAAAGATTTAATGAAATTACAAACGAAACCTGTTTTCCTCTCATTAAAGCCTGGCGGCGGTGTCCACGTTGTACTTCGTGGAGCACAACAAGCAGCAGCAGATGGAAGGCTACCCGATAATTGGCAACGGAGTCTTTCGACCGGATGCGGGGCAAACGCACCTGAGCGACGAGCAGAAGCACTACTTCCACACGTTCTTCAAAAACAAGACGCACTCGTGGCCCACTCGGATAGCACTCGTGACCAGCACCGCCCGACCGCCCGGATCCCGGCCAGCGGAGGAGGAGGCGGTGGACCTGGCCGCGGTATTGATCAAGCCCCAGGTGTCCACTGGCCAGCTGCAGCAGAATAACAAGCACGTGCTGATCACAACGTCAGCTCCGCGTTTCAGCAACAAGACCATCAACAGCAAGAAGGGCAAGTGGCCGCCCACCCAGGAGGTACTGCGTCAGGCGGCGGGTCAAAAGTTGCACCTAGCACAGCCGGTCCATGTGGTTCCTCCTGCTCTGGCCAAGGTCCATCCTCCCGCTGCCCCTAACGGCACACTGACCTCCACGGAGAAGCCATCGCAGGCTATTCTCTTGCCCCAGGATTTTGAAAACAACTCCATCGACATCGATGCCCAGCAGAAGCAGTCGCAGCTGAAACTGGACGAGCACATCGTGGTGGTGGGCACCATCGCCAGTCCCGCCTCCGATGCCTATGATTCCAATTCCCCAGCTGCTGCTGCACATCCCATTCGCAAATTCAACCCCGGCACCGTTTATACCCATGTCTACAAGACGGTATCACCACCCACGTCCAACCTGGCCCTGACCACCAATAAGGTGAGCACCGAGCCCGCCCAGAGTCCACTTGCCCAGGCCCTGGATGTTCCGCCGCCGGCGATTCCCCTGCGTAACAGCAGCGACAATCCGGATGCCCTCGACCTGCAGAACCTGAGCAACACCAACGAGTCCGTGGACAACCCCATCACCGGGGTGTATGGCTTCGAGTACCAGGGATCGGGTTTGAGGGAGTCCAATGTGGGCAGGCGGTCAGCCAGTCAACGGAGTCTGGATTGGATCCGGCAGAAGAGAATCAAGGCGGCGCTGTTTGGACAGCCAGCAGAGTGCAATGGGGATGAGTCGGTCAGCGATAATTGCCAGGTGAGGATTGGTTAGTCTAATTTTAATCCCAATTAATAAGTCATGTTCTTTCATTCCCAGTCCGTGTGCTTCGAGGAACTGCCACCGAGTCAGCCTGAGCCGGACAATGTGGATGCCAATGTGAAGGAGCAGCATGTCGAGGACGATCTGCAGTCGGCTGAAGAGCAGGAGCAGGATTCGGACATCATAGAGCCGCAATCTGCCACCCTAGTTGGCAATGAAACCTCTGCTGTTCTCGATGGCCAGCCAGGATTCCTGGGCAAAAGTTCGCATAGCACCGATGCCCTGGCCAAGAAGTTCCCCCAGGAGACGGAGACGGCGATCGCAGCCAAGGACGATCCAGTCTACCGGCTGGTGCAGGCTGCCTCTGCTCAGGATCAAGTGTCCAAGGGCGATGAGACGGTGCTACCGCCCTTCCAACTGGACTGCTGGAGCGTGAGCAGTTGCGTCCTGGCCGCCCAGTATAACCACACCATCGACGTGGAGCAGTTCTGTCCCACCTCGGGCACTTCCCTCAATGTCAGCTATATAGTTCCCGTGTCGCGTTATCTGCAGGCCAGTAGCCTGGAGCTCCATCTGAGGTATGTATGTTGGGTATTAAATAAAACATCTCTTAACTTAGTTGATTGGTTAACTATTAACATTGAAATCTTGGTGATTAGTGTATAATATCAGCTCAACTATTTTAGTATACATATATAAGTGATATAAATATATACAAATATAGACAGAATAAACATTATTATTTCCGCAGCTCCAACAAACCTCTGCAGTGGTCCATCTGCATCGACGATGATCAGGCCAAGCCCAGTGCCAACGCCCAGCTAAATGAGGATGATGAGGCCACGGCCACCAGCGGAGTGAAGATCCTCAAGCAGCAGGGCAAGAATAAACTGAGCCTGGCTTTGGATCTGCCCGCTCGCGGATACTTCCTGCGCGACTTTATGCTCCGCGCCAGCCACGACTTGGAGCAGGTGAGTTTTCCGGATTTACTCAAGCTCTTCCAGCGATTCCTCAACTCTTTTAGTTGCAGCAAAAACTTTGCGACGACAGCGCTCACCTGGCAAACCCCATACTCCAGTACAACTTTAGAATCGTAAGAGATTGTGATTAGTTTACAGCTTAATTTATGACACGGATCGAATCTGAACTCCAAAAATCTACGCATATGTGTATGTACTGCATGTTTGAATGTTGCGGATATGTCCTGGCACCCCCAACACGGAAAACTCGTTTAAATTAGGAAAATGAGAAAATGATATAAACTAAAACTGTTGATCAGCGAGCGGAAGTTAAAATGAATACATTTATACGTAAAACAAATCATTAATAAATGCAAAACAATTATCGACCATTTAAATAAAATATGTAGAGAAATCTTTTAAAATGTTCTTTTAGTGGCTGGGCAATGGAAAAAAGAGCATTGAAAGCTTTTAAATGGTATTTAATTTAAAAAGGGCTTTTAAAATGTTTGTCGCTATTCAAATCAAATGAGGTCAAAAAACAACGACTATGAATGATTTAAGTTATGGTTTTTGAAAAATAAGTATGTACATCAACAGAAATGACAGTTGAACCTTGGAAATTACTAAATAAATAATCTATTCATTTTAAGCAAGATTTTTTAAGTAACAAACATTCTATGAGTATTAGTTGATTTATGGCTGGGCATCATTAGAATACTATTTTAAAATTAATAAGTTAATATAAGAGAAACCTTCAAATTTGACTTTAAATGCAAAAACGGAATACTCAAGACTTGAAGTTTCAAAGTTAAAGCTAAAACAAATGATGAAAGGTAAATAAGCGACAGTGGTCACAAGCACTACTAAATAAATTTTATAAAAGGGAATTTATAAGTAGGCTAAAACTACGCTCATTGAATTTTCGTGTAAATAAGTTTCCTAGGGCCTGAATAAAAAAATCCATAGGTGTCTATAGGACAAATTAAATCACTTTACTATGAAACAATTAGGAAACTTAACAGGTAAACGATCCTTTAGACTGCGAACGGCTGGTCCTTGCCATCCTCGTGGTATTTGATGTACGTCTCTCCGTGCGTAAAGTCCTTGGTTCCCTCGAGGCGACCGCGCGGCGGAGCCTTGTCGTAGTCGAAGGCTTTCTCCGACTTGCCGAACAGCTGGTTGGCCATCTCGATGTCCTCGCGGTACTTGCCCACGACCACCTTCTTTCCAGTCAGTGGATCTGTTATGTCACCCAGCGGATAGACCACCTTTTCCACATTGTGCGTGATGAGTCGGGTGAGTCGATCGGGTAGCTCCTTTATCAGAACCACATCCCCGGTTTTGCACACCTTCTGTGGATCGTGGGCGAAGTAGAACTCGTCCTTCTTGAAGTACTATAAGAAAAACAGGTATACGCTTTTAATTTTCTGAGAAGTGGTATTGCTTACCATATTCAGATTCTTGTCCAGTTCCATGCGGCGAATACGGATCTTGGAGGCATTCTGCTTAATGCAGGGCATGCACTGGCCCATTAGTAGTAGTCCTCGCCTTGACATGATCCTGAAGGATTTTTATTTAAAAATTTATAAAAATAAACAACCGGTTGCAAGGTATATTGGTAGTGTGACCAAAAAGCTAAGTCGTCAAATGTTTTACACAGCTGTTAACTATCGATAAGAACAGCTGTCGCAGGTTTTCAGATTTTGCTTGGCTGTTAATATTTGATAATTGTTAGCTAATTTATTCATAATATAATTGCTCAACCGACTGAAAAATTACTTAGCATTAGCTTGTACAATTTTATCAAATTATTTTCAATAAAGAATAAAATATTTAAATTCGAACTACAATCTACAGCTTAATTTTAAAATTGGCGGTACGGCCTCTGTTAAGATAACAGATCTCATGTACATATCGATTACTGAATCTGATGCAGCCCTGGGTGATAGTATCGAAGTGCGATATCCAGACATCGCATACCTATCGATACCGCGCTCCACGTGTTTTCCCGTCCATTTTCTCGCAGCGCGCAACACGTGCGGAGGTTCCTCCGTGTATCAGTAGTTTTCCGAGACAAACGCAGATAAAATGGCCGACGTGGGTAAGTTCAAAAAGAGATGAATAAAAAGCAGACAGCAACTGTACGGATTATTTGCCTGCAGAGGTACGCAAGGAGAAGAAAAAGAAGAAGATCAAGGAGGAGCCTGTGGACGGCGATGACATTGGCACGCTGCAGAAGCAGGGCAACTTCCAGATCAAGCCCTCCTCCAAGATCGCGGAGCTGGACACCTCGCAATGGCCGCTCCTCCTCAAAAACTTCGACAAGCTGAACATCCGCTCCAACCACTATACTCCCTTGGCCCACGGATCTTCGCCACTAAACCGCGACATCAAGGAGTACATGAAGACGGGTTTCATTAACCTAGACAAGCCGTCGAACCCCAGCTCCCACGAGGTGGTGGCCTGGATCAAGAAGATCCTCAAGGTGGAGAAGACGGGCCACTCCGGCACACTGGATCCCAAAGTCACGGGTAAGTGAAAGCGCATGTTTTCCTCCCCCCAGCCAAACCTAACCTCAATGTGTGGCCGCGTGTTTTTCTGTCAGGTTGCCTGATTGTCTGCATCGACCGTGCCACCCGACTGGTCAAGTCCCAGCAGAGCGCTGGCAAGGAGTACGTGGCCATCTTCAAGCTTCACGGAGCTGTAGAGTCTGTGGCCAAGGTGCGTCAGGGTCTGGAGAAGCTTCGCGGCGCCCTCTTCCAGCGTCCTCCCCTCATCTCCGCCGTCAAACGCCAGCTGCGAGTGCGCACGGTCTACGACAGCAAGCTGTTAGACTACGATGAGAGTCGTAATATGGGTGAGTCTGGCTTTGTTTACCCAATCACATCCGGAGCTACTGCGTCGCTGCAGGATAAGTTTGTCTCGCAGGGATGCAGCTTGCTTAAGTTATTGAAACTCCAGTATTTGCCAACCCGCGCAAATGCACATTGTATATGTTAAAACATTATCTTTTTCTCTACTCCACTGCCGCCTACTCACGTGCTCAGGTGTTTTTTGGGTTAGTTGCGAGGCCGGCTCCTACATTCGTACCATGTGCGTCCATCTGGGTCTCGTCCTGGGCGTCGGTGGCCAGATGTTGGAGCTGCGGCGCGTCCGCTCGGGCATTCAGTCGGAGCGCGACGGCATGGTGACCATGCATGATGTTTTGGACGCCATGTGGCTGTACGAGAATCACAAGGACGAGTCTATGTTGCGACGCGTAATCAAGCCGCTGGAGGGTCTGCTGGTCAACCACAAGCGCATCATTATGAAGGACAGTTCGGTGAGTTGGGTTACTGGGCTTTTAAAGGCATACCCCATGATATTAAGCCGGCAGGTGCCTGCAATCCCCACGGGCATCTGTGACTTTGATTGGGAACAGTGACGCCGCCGATGTGTGTATGTTGGGCAGCGCTTTTCTCCGCGCGCTCGACAAAGAAATTTCGGACGACATCTCTTCTTTTTAAGATCCCATCTTGATAGCAAATAACCGTCCTGAAATTCTCCAGGTAAATGCCGTTTGTTATGGTGCCAAGATCACGTTGCCCGGTGTCCTGCGCTACGAGGATGGCATTGAAATTGATCAGGAGATCGTCATTTGCACCACCAAGGGCGAGGCTATCTGCCTGGCTATTGCTCTGATGACCACAGCAACCATGTCGTCCTGCGACCATGGAGTGGTGGCCAAGATTAAGCGTGTGATCATGGAGCGCGACACATATCCGCGCAAGTGGGGATTGGGCCCCAAGGCGTCGGCCAAAAAGGCGCTCATCGCCGCCGGCAAATTGGACAAATTCGGCCGGCCCAATGAGAACACACCAAAGGAGTGGCTGACCGGTTATGTGGATTACAATGCCAAGAAGCCTGCAGCGGCAGCTCCTCAAGAGACTGCTCCCACGAATGGCTCCAGTGAATCCAGCAAGGTAGTGTACTAGATATATTCCCTTTTGACAATCATTAACTGACTTTATCTATTCAGCGCAAGTTGAGCACCTCCAGTGTTGATACAACTACGCCCACAGCCTCCGATGAGACTCCTTCCAAGGACAAAAAGAAGAAGAAAAAGAAGCACAAGGGCGATGAGGAGGCACCAGCTGCCGAGGAGGATGCACCTGCCGATGCAGAGCCAGTAGAGAAGGAGAAGAAAAAGAAGAAGAAGAAGGATAAGGATAGGGACAGAGAAGAAGCTCAGGAATAGAAATCGAATGTTTCTATAGGATTAGGTTTTATAGAGAACTCTACGGTTTTTTGTAGAGACACCTACCAATTTGCTAGCTGTTAAGTTTAAGGAGTGTTTTTATGTGTAGAAGTGCATACAAATTACAAAATGCATTTAAGTGACATTCGCAATGCAATAAATTGTATATTTCATTGTAAAAGTTTTGTTAGTTTTTCAAGGTCTTAGTTCTCTTTAGCTTTACAGTTGGAAAGGCTTACTCCAATGGAAGGTGAGTTTAAAATGAAAAATTTGTAAGCTTATTTAAATGTAGCTGTCGTTTGCGTTATCTGATGAGCAATAACTTTCGCCCCTAGCTGAAAAATGAAACTTCTCATGTTGAATGCGATTGGTCTTACTGAAAATATAACGCAATAAAAGCCCATTTAAATTACTTCAGTTTTATAATTAACATTCGGCTTAAGAAATAATGAATAATTGTGTTTTATTCTTTGTAGCTTGGGAAACACTTCAAAGGACGACGTATGGATGCAAGTGAATATAAGGTAAGTTTCCATTTTAATAGACATTTTCAGTAATATTAATTCTGATGAGTATTAACTTTCGCCCCTATCTGAAATTGAAACTTCTCTTGTTGAATGCGATTGGTCTTACTGAAAAACTAAAAATCAAGAAATGCTTGTTGAATTTAACATTTTACACAAACTAATCAAAACTTTTATAAATATTTGCAGATCGACAGAATGAATACAATGAAAGTAGTCCCATCAGCAAGTGATGTAAAGGTAAGATGACATTTAAAACGTTTATTCTATATATGTATGTTTTATGATGAGCATTAACTTTCGCCCCTATCTGAAATTGAAACTTCTCTTGTTGAATGCGATTGGTCTTACTGAAAAACTAAAAATCAAGAAATGCTTGTTGATTTTTACATTTTAAACAAACTAATCAAAACTTTTATAAATATTTGCAGGTCAACACAATGAAGACAATGAAATTAATCCCATCAGCAAGGAAATTAAGGTAAGATGACATTTAAAACGTGTATTCAATATGTTTTATGATGAGCATTAACTTTCGCCCCTATCTGAAATTGAAACTTCTCATGTTGAATGCGAGATTGGTCTTACTGATATGTATGACAACTACAATAAATCCATATAATTTTCTACCCTACTTAATAAAATATTTTCCTTTAACTTACAGATTGGTTAGTCAAGGTTGATGCGATCATAATAGAGGACGGTTCTCAAGCAAGAGGTAAATATTGAACCATATAAAAATATTTCTTTTAAAAGTGATGAGCATTAACTTTCGCCCCTATCTGAAATTGAAACTTCTCTTGTTGAATGCGATTGGTCTTACTGAAATACATCACAATTAATATTAAATTAAATACTTGTTCTCCTATACTAAATAAATGTTTTTCTTAATTTTTAGGTTTAATCCCATGAAACGATAAGTTAGGATTCCGATTCCTACTTAAAAGGTAAATATAAAACTATAAAACTAATTGTATTGTGATAAACTTATGTTTATGTTTTAATTAAGTTAAATTTAAATTTGTTGACTTACGTTATACTAAATAACTTTTTAACTAAATCTGAATTACTCAAATACTATGATGAAAAACGAAAGCTGATTTATGTGGCATGATTTTCACATTAACCGCAACAAAACCCTACTCCAATAGGTCCTACTGAAATTTCGCTCAAAAATAATTCCTTTGCCCTATATAACAAACAATTAACTAACAATTGTATTTCTTTTGCTTTTTTAGTGTCCAAAGCATGTTGTTTTTATACCAAGGTAATTACAAATAATCACTTTAAAAAGTTTCTATTGAAAATGATGAAAAGAAAAAGCTGAACTATGTGGCATGATTTTCACATTAACCGCAACAAATCCTACTCCAATAGGTCCTACTGATTATTTTCATCAGAAACAAAATGAATTTTTCTATCACTAGCAAAAACTAATTTATGACGTTTTCTTTTAATTTTAGTCGCTGATGTCTTCCCCGCTGATTTGGTTAAAATGATAAGATTCACAACATATTCCATTCCAAATCTTTATTTTCCAGGTACAGTACTTACAAAATACCCTATCCTATTTTTACTTGCGAAGAAAATAAAAGTAAACAAAAAACATGTGACATTTCTTTAATGGGATTAGGTCATGCGTGTTTTTAACCTAAAAACTCAGCTAAAATCTTTGGCGAGCCTGTTTGGGCGGGCAATCATCTGCCAGGGGTGCAAAAAGGCGCAAATCGTGAGCGAGGCGTCCGTTGGCTTGAAAACTTAAATATGCTTGCATGTGTGTGTGTCGAAACGAGGTTTATCACTGATCCTCGATTTTATACACACCTATAGTGCTTTAATTCAATATACAAACATAAACACGTTTTCTGTGACCTTAAAATAGCAGAGTGAAGGTTTTCTTTTGCCTGACCAGCCCTGCGTTCCATTCCACTATCCCTTGGCGCCCTGCCTATCGGACGCCATTTTTGATTAATCGCAGTATATTTGTCTGTCACTATTTGTGTATGTATTCGGCTATGCTTTTTTTCGCCGCGTCGTCAACCAGAGCTGTCGGTTTATTGTGAAAATAAATTCAACAATTGCGACGCGGTTACGGATTTTCAAGTGCCGACGAACTAACTGGCTGTTACTAGTCACTTTAAGAACAGGTACGTGGTCGTAAATTGGTTTTTAATTGCGGTGCATAAGGACATTGCCGGTAAAGGAATTTTTGTGCGGAGTATAGAGGGTGCTTTCAAGTGACGCATGCGATCGGTTGTGTATGTATCCATTGCGACGCCATGTTGGATTTTCACTTTGAGGTTATTGATTAGTTTGCACCTAGAGGATGTCGTTAATTTTAAAATTTAATCAATTATGTAGGAAAATTAGTGAAACGCAAGTAATGAGAGGAAAATCATATTTAGTATAATTTGGGTGTGGAAAGTTTGGTAACTTGATCGAGTTTACAGGAGGTATTTTTGGCACATGTTCTAATGCAGAATTTACTTTTTCGTTATGTAATAAACAAATCTGTCTCTTATTATATTGATTAGTTTGGTATGTTCTTTGTTTGGTAAAATGTTCTAGTTCTGAATAGTTTTGAGCATTTAAAAATAGAGTTGTCTATTTCTTAATAAATAATAATTTCCCTGTTTTAACTTATAAACATAATTAGTATATTTTAATGTTATTTGAAAACTATCTATTCAAATAACACGTGCCTTTTAGGCTTCTTCGATCTTTATACGGATCTGACATCTTAAACATTTGTGCTCTCACGAAAACAGTCCTTCGCATCTTTAGTGTTGTAAAACCAGGACATTATCCCAAAGTTCTCTCCCTGTCTTCTTCCTGCATTTTTACATAACAAATTTATCGGTATCGAAAGGCGCACGTGCGTGCCACCCCCCTCACCCACTCACACTTGCGGAAGCAACAACAACAGCCGCTAGTCCATTGCCATGTGTTCCTGGGAAATGCCTGAAAGTGTACTGCAGCCAGGGCTCACACACACACTCGCAAGCACGCATGTGGCTGTGACGCTGAGTCGGAATCCGGATTATTTTGTGATCTGATCGCAAATTTGAAGCACAGTCTTTAGTTCACCCTGCTGCTAAAAAAAGTGTCACTTGCAGATGGAATAAATATTGTGCTCAGGCGCAATGCATTTCGTCAATCGTTTGCAGTCAGCATAAGTGCGGAAAATCAGAGTCTCAAAATGTTTTGATTGTGCTCTTCGCATCGCGTGTTTGATTGTGTGGGTGTGCGGGAAAAGGCGCTAAACGAACACCAACAATCGTGGTTATACCGTTTCTGTGATACTGGGTCTGTTTGTAAAAAGTGCGTAATAAATATTCCCGAAAAATGCTCGTTAATATGTCTAATAAATTAGTTATATTGCCATCATGGGCAGCCTCTATTTTGCCTAGAGCTCTGTTTAACCTGTGTGTGTATCTGCTGTTTTTGTCGGCAGTGTGGCCCAATAAATTTGCAATTTGTAAACATTTAACCATTTATACCCAGTATAAAGTCCAAAATTAGAGTAATTCACTCGCAAAGAATCACTAATTCAAATTTTAAAATGTAGTTTTGTAGATTTGTAGTGCTGGAAAAAGTGATCAGTACATTTTCCGGCCAGTGTCGCCAACGCCACATTATTTTCCAGGGCTATTAAGCACTGGAAATCATCCTGATTTTTGAGGTTAAAGTTTTTCCAACGTGTAATAATGATTTTTCTCTGCTTTCTCGCAGCATGACTTACGAACTGCCGCCAATTGTATTAAAGGGCAAAGAACTGACCAAATACCGCCATCTGAAGCGCAAATATCCCGTCTCCAAGGCCTTTCTGCATCGCAACTGGTGGAATGTTAAGAGGTTTATAGTCTACGCCCTCAGTCCCCGCTGCGTGATCAGGAATTATGCCTGGCGCCGGAGGCGAGGCCATCGCGTCCGGATTGTGCGGCGTGTTCGCATCCTGCTCTTCGATCCGCGGATCAAGCGGATGATCAAGCGACGCCTGCAAAACGTGCGTCAGTGGTCCAAGACCTTAGTAAGTCACTACAAAAAGATGGGCAGGATCGAGGAGTACGAGGAGACTGAGGTGTACAGTGTGGCCGAACCCCTGGCCGCCGAGGAGCTTTCGAAGCAGATGAAGCAGCAACTGGAGCTCCTTAAAACGGGCAAGAGGAGCCTCTCTCTTATAGAAGACACCAATCTCAGTGGGGAGGTCCCGTCGAAAAGGCCAAAGAAGCAGAGTGAGGTTACCCACGTGACGCCCAATGAAGACGCCGATGATCAGCAAGATTCAGACTTTGGCCCCTCCAAGAGGGCTGCCGAAAGAACGCCAACGAAGTCACCCGCACAAACAGCCGCTTTGGAGGATGCTCCAACCCCTGCAACACCCAGTAAGGAGCAGAGCGGCCAGACCAGCACCTGCTCCAGCGCCGAAAAGCCGGACAAAGTGGAAAAGGCCGGTGGAAGCAAGTTCCTGGACATGCTCATCAGCAAGGTGCGCGTAAAAAACTTTGCGCGGGAGGACAACATGCCTTCGGAATCCTTTGCAGCTCAATCCTTCGTGTCCGAGGATGAGGGAAGTGAGGACTTCGTGGGCTTTGACGAGAGTGTCCACCAGCCGGGCATGCTCCTCACGCCGCTGGTCCCCATCAACTGCAAGACCCAGGAGGGGAACTCGGCCTTCGTTAGCGAAACGTTGGACGCATATATGCGGGAACACCACATCAACGACGACGAAAAGGACGACAAGGACAAGTTGCTCGAGCCAATGGGACACGATGGCCAGGTCACCTCGCACAGCATGCCGCCGATGATGGATATGCCAGCCGTTCCGGAAGCACTGCAGCGCTTGCGAACGGTGGCGGAGAGGCGGCAGTATCTCCAGCGCTGCAAGAACCACAAGATGGGAATCATCAACAACGAGGCCAATATATACAGGGAGTTGCAGCGTAAGCAGCGCCAGCGAAAGGTGAAGGTGGGGGCCATGCAGGGTCTGCAGGCGCCCTCTTCTCAGATGCCCTTCACCCGCCAGGGCTGGCAGGCAGCCAGTTACGTGGCCACCGAGAACTCCAACTACTACTATCAGGTACGTTGCTCAAAAGGGGTTTAACTTGGATTTTTGCTAATAATCTTTTGCTTATTTCAGGTAATCCAGGTGGATGGAGAGATGGTCCGTCTTCCAGGCGCCCAAGGCAATAATCTTAAGCGCGAGAAAAGCCCGTATTTGAGCAGACTAACTAATAAAGAAGAGAACGAACTGAAGTGCAGCGGCCAGTGCTTAGATGCGCGCATCTGCAGGGAGCTTAAGGTGATTCCCACAAAAGTGGGTCCACCGAGAAACCCAAAAATCCTTAACCAGTTCCCGCTGCCCGCCATTTTTCGCCCCTGCCCACTGTCGAAGAAACCGTTTCAGAGACCACTGGACGATGATACGGCCGCGTTGCTTCTCGCCGGAGGAAGCATGGCGGTGGTTAGCATGCCAAACGTGCAGCTGGATGTAATGCCCCAGCTGGGCCGTCCACTCGACGAGATTGCCAAACGGTATCTGCAGCACATCCTGCCCCATCACGACATAACGCGCGAGTGGGCCGAGTTCAGTGTGTCCACGCTGCAGACGCCACCCTCCTGCATGAAGGATGCCGAAGAGCAGGCTGCTCAAACGCCAGCCGGTCGCCGGAAGAGTTTCACCTTCGTCATTCCCTATCTCAACGATCGGAATCACATTCTTGTGCGGCGCGTGGTGGATCGATCGGAGGAGTTGGACGAAAGCTTTAATGAGGTGCCCGAAAAGCTCCAGGAGTTCACTTTCCGGGAGGAGCTGCCATCTAAACCGGATGTCGATATTCTAGCCTGTGCAGACATGATCAACGACATGATTAACACTGTGGCAATTAGCTGCAGCGAAAACAGTTTTATAAGAGAGGATCCGGATACGTTAAATAACAGTGCTTCACAGAGCAAATCGTCTGATCTAAGTCCCTCAAAGGAGGAGACAGGCAAGGATGCGGCTAAGCTTGGCGGCAAAACAAAGCGACTGCCCAACAAGCAAAAGCGCCTGGCCAGCGAGCTCAGGCGATTGAATGCCACAATCATAGACGCTGCTGCCAGGAACGCAGATGGTGAGTTGGTCAGGTCAACATATCTGTAATAAGATTGTAATCCATGATTTGTTTCCCTTTCAGCCAACAAACCCTGCATTAAGGATCACTGCCAATTGGGCTGCCTGTGCGCCAGCTTGGCAGGTACAGAATTACCTGTACGGGATCACTGCGGAAGGGCAGAGTGTGTCCTAAATTGTCGTTGCCTGGGTGCGGAGAAGGGTCGCGTCATGCGGGTGGAGGCAGCAGATGTAATATTAATAAATGACTATTGTCTAAGCTTTCTGTTTTATTAATTTTTTTGTTTGTATAATTCAGGGACGAGGAATTTCCAACGAGGATGCGTTTAATTTGCGTCGGAAGGCCACTGCGAGGCTAGCCAAGATGGAGAAGGATTTCACCTCCACATTGGTGCTTACCGACAACGAAACGCTGTTGATTAATGAGTCGCAGGGCGACAAAAAGCGACGCTGCACAAAGGCCCCCAAGCGCTACGAGGATTTCGATGACACCATGTTTGACGAGGAGGAAAAAGATGTGGTATCACCCACCTCGAAAAAGCAAAAGAAGATTGCTGCCGCCGCTGCGGCTGCCGCAACGGCCGCTGCTGTCGCTGCTGCTGCTGCAGCTGCCAGTGCCAAGATAGCTGCTCCTGCTCTAAGCGAACCGTGCTCGGTGAAGGATACGGATTTGGCCAAGTTAAAGCATTGCTTTGTGGGGCTCCGTCGCTTGCCAGACATTGATAACCTGGCAACCTTCTGCATGACCCACCAACTGTATAAGTGCTTCTGTGGCGGAGACTCACCTGATGGAAAGCCCGTCGTGATCGAGAAGGAGCAGTGGAACGCGCCTGTGACCCACTTCAATCCAGAACTGGCCACCAGGGCTCACTACAGCTTTGAGCGACCGCCGGAGGAGATGCCAGTGAAAAAGAAGGGCAAGGAAAAGAAACCCAAGGTAAAATTGGAGCAGAAAGCGATCGAAGAAGATCCAAAGCCAAACACCTTTGAAGAGGAGTGTTCTCCTTCCAAGACTGAACCCAAAGAAGAGCCGAAAGTACCTCCTTCCCTATTTAATGATGAGTCTCCTCTACAAAGATCCATTGAGTTGGATACAATCTTCAGCTATTTCCGATCGCGACCTCATATCTGCCGGCGAGCCATTTCTGTTCCAAAGAACTCCTACCAGCGCCTAAACAAACGGCGTGCGGAGCGAGTCCGTCAGCACTCGGCCCGCCAAGAGACTCCAGAAACGATAGAGCTTCTCAAGACTCGTATGCAGGGTGCCATTACCTACTACCGCAAGGAACTCGATCGGCAACGGAAGCGGGAGCAGAGCAAGAAGTCCGCTAACGCCCCTGTCATAGAGGTGCGTGATGATTCCGATGGAAGCGAGGTAAGCAGCCGAAAGAGAAGTGGAAAACCTGCAAAGGCAACGACTTCAAGCAAGCGCATGAAGCTCAAGTCGGATACGCCCTCGCCGCCGGAGGAGGACAATAAGTTGGACATTCAAGTGCCCCGCATTGCCGCCTGCTACTCCCTTAATTCCGCATCCGTGGATGTCCTGGGGTCTGGAATGGCAAACGCCGCCGCCGCAGCTGCCGCTGTAACTGGAGCGGCACACAGTTCCGCCGAGACGGATTCTCCCAACTTCCGGTCTTTCTACAACGAAGTGGTCAAAAACATGAACACCCTGGTCAGCAAAAAGATGCAGGACATTGACCTGGCCCTACAACGCGAGAGCAAGATCATCCCGGCCCCCAACGAAGAGATCCTTTGCATCATTAAGTGGACCAATTTCCTGGCCGCCTTTGAATCGGGTTTTGTGTTCATTTGGGACGTCCAAATGAAGACCCACAGCTTTCTGGCAGCCACCACCGCCAATTTGATGCCCTCGGTGTGCGGCGCAATCGGAGTGGTGAATACAATGTTTGCTCCAGATCCACAGGCACTGCCTCTAATGGCTCGGATGCTGATGAATTCCACGCGGAATGAAAACACCAACCGTCTTGCCGTGGTTATGCAAGGCAGGAAGAGCTTTTGGCTCGTCAAGGGATTCCTGCGACATATGGAAGGCAATGCCTGCACGAAGCCCACACCGACGACTCATCCGCTGCTAACCAAGAAGATCAATGTGTTGTGCTCGCTACTGGTGAAGCAGCGCATTAGGGAACACCAGAAGAAACTACACAGCGGCGGAGGATCACCCTCTGAAGTCTCCGATAGTCCGGCCGCAGATGTTGCTGCACCAACTTCGCTGCTTGCTAAGCAACGCCCTCGGGAGCATCAGAAAAGGCCTAAGAACGAAGAAGCGGCCGTCAGTACTACTTCGCTAGAGAGTTCGTCAGCTGGGGAGTTCACCTCTTCGGTTCCTTTATCTAGTGCGGTGCCTGCTTCTGCTGTTAGTTCTGGAACAGCTGGTCCTTCTGTCGGTGACGCCAATAGTTTATCACCCGGTACTAAATCTAAAAGCAGCGCCTCCGGAATCCGTAGCAATATCGAGTTTCGGAAAGTTAACCACTGCGATGTAGATGAACTCCAAATACCCGAATTGCACAAGACCGACCACCGTTGGGTGGTGCTCGACATCTTCGATGACTTTTCGCATATCTTCGTGCCCGCCTTCGGGGACATGATCTCGCTGACCAGGATCCACAAAGTGATGAAGGTGGCCGAGGACACTCAAAAGGTTGTAAAGCTGCAGTTCTTCCCCAATGCGCCATACGACGCCTTCGTGACGCCATCGTCCAAGAAGAAGATCTACTTTGGACCGTTGAGCCTGGACATGCCGCCGCCAGTGCTGGTTTTGCTGCAAAGCGTTGACCGAAAGATGATGCTGCGTGAAGTATACCAGCGAGAGCACTCTATTCCCGTTCAGCGCAATCGACGGAGTATGGCCCTCTGGGTGTTGCATGTGAACGGACAGGTGCACTTTGAGATTGACATGGAGTCGACGGCTAAACTGGCGGCACAACAGAAGGATTCTACGGCGATTTCTGGACTCAATGTTGTGAAAATACCGTCCCAGTTATCTGTGGAAATAGAAAAAAATGATGAGACGGTATCACCGGTGGTAATTATCGACAGTGATGAGGAAGACGATGATGCGGATAATCAACTAGTAATCGATGAGCAGGAGGACCAGCAGCTGGTGACGGAGATTAAGCAGGAACAACTGTCTCGTACAAACTTCACAATTCAGACTTTGCCCACTAGTGGCGCATTGCAGATCACTACCTCGGATTTGGTAGCTCCGACCACACGTCCAACCAAAGATGTGACCACTTGCCAACTGACTGGGGGTTTCATGCCGTTCATTGCGAATGTACCCGCCAAGAATGGAGAAATGCCACCCACCACCCAATACCTGACTCCCCAAGTGCAGGTAACTACGTCGGCAAGCGTTCCCGAGACTACCTCGCCCAGTTCCTCCACCAATTCCCCAGCAGCCAAATTCAGCCGTTTCTCGGTGGCGCACAACAAGATCAACGAGTCGCTGCAGGAGCTGCTGAGCAGTGGGAACACTGTAACTCCTGGTGGCATAACTATCACCAAGCTGGAAAGCAAGGACAAGAAACTGCCAAACGAAGCCGTTCAGATTGGCAGCAAGCGCAGCGTAACCGGGGTTGCTAAACAAGTGTCCAAGGCGATACCAGTACCGGGTACAGTTTTTTCAGTCGGACATGTCATTAGACCATTGGCAAATCCTAATCTGAAAGGCATTCAGCCCATACGACCCGCAGCTGCGGGAACGAACGCCGGTGTTAAGTTGTATCCCAGACCATCCATTGTCGCCAGCAAGCGGCAATCCGTGCCGGGAAATGCTAAACCGGCGGTGCCGACGACGTCCCGTCAATCCCTGCCAGCCAAGGTGACAATTGCCAGTGATAAGCCATCTCCAGTGTGCGCCACTAAGCTGCCAGTGTTGGCTGAGCCCCCTGTACGCGTATCCCTGCCAGTTAAACCTTCAACATCCGGCAATCAGCTGTCGTCTCGTCAATCTCTCCCAGCAAAAGTAGCTGCCAAACCCGTTGCATCAGCTCGACCGGAACCGGTGGCATCGGCTCCCCAGAAGGCAGCCAACGCTCCGGCAAATCAGCAGGGAAACGAAGACTGCTGCTACGGAATCATGGGCGCTAAGGGATTGCCGCGCTTTCGCGTCAAAGTCCAGGGCTCTGTATTTATGGTCAAGATACCCGAAAATGGAGTGCAGCGCTTCAAGACTTTCGGAGCAGCCGCCAGCTTTCTCAATCGGTGAGTGCATGCGAAACCGTTTTCCACAGTCTAGATGCTAATTAAAGTATTCCTTATTTACAGCCACTTGTCTGAGAAGCCGAAATTCAAGATGCACTTGCCGGCACAGTGGAAGTTCCTGCCCTTGGAGCGTTCGCCCATCAAACAGAATAGCACCTCAAATGTGCCATCTAAAAATCAGCAGCCCCCGGCTGCCATCCTAATCGAAGATTGAAGCGTTCTTCTTAGTTGCCCATCACATTTAAACTACGCTTATTTCACCGAAAAGTTTTATAAGGCAGCTCACACGTGCACTCCCGCTTTTTCGGATACATATTAAATATGTAAACTGTTTAGGTTGTAGGTAGACTTATAGATTAACACCATTTAATGTTCTTATTGAGTTTGATTATGGTTACACAATTTTAAAATTTACATAAACGTATTAGCGGCGACTGCAACAGAGTCAATGCGAACATTTAATAAATTTAAGCTGTTCCGGAGGATTATGTAGATCTTATAAGATATTATATTATGTACTATAATTAATTCAAAAACGTAGCGCCAATTGTTTGTTGGAAAGGCTGTTTAATTTTTGTATATTCTGCTGCATAATTTCAAAATTTTGGTAATTGCGCAGCATAAGTTCTGAAGTTTGTATTCTTAAGCTAAAAACTTTTTAAATATACTTTAAAGACAAAAAAAGTTTTAATTATTGTTAGTCGTAGAATAAAAAGAATGCAGAAAGAATGGTATTAAATATTTTAATTTTTTTCACAAATTCGGTTTACATAGGCAAAATACTTTGTAATAGAACAGTAGGTACAGCATATCTTTTAGTCAGGAATGAGAAATTAAATATTTCAGAAGTATGAATGGCGAATTTTGATAATTTGGCGCGCTTATCAGCTGTTTCCCGTCCCGATTCCAATTCGTTCTGCCAGCGAACAGCTGTTATTACCACCAATGCGGTCCGATTGAAAAGGGGTAAAGGAAAACGTATTTTAAAACTAAAACCAATATTTACGCAGCTCGTTGCTTATTGTTTTTGGACATAATTTATATAAATAAAAAGCTAGTCATATCAGAGCTTTGATAGTCAGCTGATAACAGCGAACGCAACACAAGGTGCAACAACAATTGGCAAAACAATCGACCAAGGTCAGCCTTAGATATAGAACCACAAATACAGACGATCAGCAATATAAGCGCTACTAAATCGCTTGCCTAAACAATTTGCAGATATCGCAGGCAAAAGCTCGATCGATTCCGATTCCCCAGACCCCAGATATTCAGCCACCGTGATCAGGGGAAGACCTCTGAGCTGCTGGACGAGAAGACTACTGAAGATGGGCTGTGACGAAAAGCGAGAGCCCGCCGGCGGAAAACTCCTGGTTGGGGACATTTCGGCGCTGACGAGGGACCACTGCCGCATGCGTTATCCGGCGAAAGTGGAGCGCATCATCAATGAATTCGTCATGGGCGGACCTGAACGGATGCAGGTTGTCTCCGACTTCGACTACACCATCACCAAGCAACGCACGGAAGACGGAGGAGCAGTGCCCTCCAGTTTTGGTATTTTTAATGCCTGCAAATCGCTGCCGGAGAACTTCAAGGAGGAGACGGACAAGTTGTACCACAAGTACAGGCCCATCGAAATAGATCCGCACATGCCAATAGCCGAGAAGGTGCAGTACATGATCGAGTGGTGGACCAAATCGGGGGAACTGACCAGCGGCTTCCCCTTTGACCAGTCGGAAATAGATCAGATAGCCAGCAAATACAAACATGCGCTACGTGACCGAACCCACGAGTTCTTCGGGGACCTGCAGCGTCTAGGCATTCCCACGCTGGTCTTTTCCGCTGGACTGGGCAACTCGGTGGTCTCCGTTCTGCGCCAGGCCAACGTAATGCATCCGAATGTGAAGGTGGTATCCAACTTCCTGCAGTTTAAAGATGGTTTGCTGGATGGCTTTCAGCAGCCAATGATTCACACCTTTAACAAGAACGAAACCGTGCTTGATGGCAATGATTACTACGACCTGGTGCACACCAGGGACCACATCATCGTCATGGGCGACTCCATTGGGGACGCGGACATGGCTTCCGGGGTGCCAGCCTCCTCACACATCTTGAAGATCGGTTTCCTTTTCGATCATGTAGAAGCCAACATGGAAAAGTATATGGACACTTTTGATATCGTTCTCGTGGACGACCAGACCATGGATGTGCCCAGGACGCTGCTCGCCCTCATCGAGAAGCAGCACCAGCTGAACCTGCAGGCTGGCAAGCAGAGCTCGCTTTAATTCCCGAAGGCAGAAGAGCTCAGTCTGAAATGTACTCGTAGCAACTCCCGCTCTCTCATTAGCAGGCAAGTTGCTAACTGAAAACAACAGAAGCTACTAATTAGGTGGTTTAGGCTAACCATTTTACTCATCGTAACGAATGAATGTATATTTCATGTTTTCAAATCATATTAAAGACAATGTTGTGCTTTGCAAGAGAGGCTGGTCTTTGATTTAATTGGATAGTTTTTATCAGAATAAATATTTTTTATGTTAGAGGAACTAGCTGAGTATCACAACATTTATGAGATATGCTCTTTTTTTAGCTTTGTCATAAAATCATAAGCATTAAATCTTAAATAATAAAAAAAAACTTAATTTCATTTAATTGAATTTTGACTTTGGAAACCGTGCTTTAAAATAAAAGATAAAATGATGATTAAAAAGGCTTACATTTCCAACAGTCGATTTCACCACAACAAAAATTCTAGAATTTTCAAATGGAAACCTATCGAAACTGAAATCGGGAAGGCCCCTTTGACTAGGGATGGACGACGTGCCAGTCATTCCAGTCCAGTGATGGCCTAGCTGTCGATAAGTTGCTATCGAAATATACAAGAGAAATATACAAATCATTTGCAAATTAAGGTTTTACGCATTTTAAATTCGAAAGTATCGGGAGGGAAAGCGTGCAAAGCAATAGATTTTTATTCGGGGAGCAAGTGCACGACAGCCACCGCGGAATCACAGTATTTCGCCCGCCCCCGGAGCCTGGTGAAGAATGTGGAGGAGGGCTGACTAAGTGAGTGGAAGCAAAAGGCTGGTGGATTCATACCGATCCGAGTCACTAAAAAACTCAAAACCGCCGCGTCATGTTCGGATTCGACGGAGAGTATCGCCGAAGACCGGTGCAAAGTCTGGGTGGAGCCTCGCACACCTGCGACCGGGACACCGTGATCAGAAAGGCCGCCCAAGAGCGCCAGAAGCGCAACGAGCTGCGCCAGAAGGAAAACGGTGCGGTTGTTCTGCAGTCCTACGCCCGCTCCTTCATCCACCGACAGCGGCGAAAGCGGGCGGAGCGGGAAGCCTTCGATAGCTACTTGTTAGCCCACAAGGATCGCATCACGGAGGACGAGAGCCTGACCTTCCTTTTGCGGCGTCTGAACTTCTTTTACAGCAGTCGGGAGGCCAAGGATGGCGAGCGATTGGTAAGGTTGCCATGACTTATTCTTAACCTTTTTAATTAATTTAATTTTAAATGATTCCCCCAATTTTCCACAGATCGAGGTCTGTCAGCAGATCCTACGACAGCCAGCTCGCCTGATACGGCATTCTTCTCTCGACTCTACGTGGCTTTTGAGGCTCTGTAAGCTGCTGGACACGTGCTTGCTACAGCTGAGTCAGTCGCACACGGCCCAGGCCATTCCCTTGCGTATGCTGGAGACCTTCACCACCGTATCCTCTGTCCAGCGCTATGTGGAGGATGAGGCTATGCTGTTCCAGTATCTGGAGCGCGTCTTTGGCTTTATGATTGCCCGTAACTACTTTCTTCGACTGCGACGGCTGCTGGATGACAAGTGCCCGCCCTTGGATGGAGAGACCTTGCATGCTCCGAGTCCGCTAGCAGAAGCTCTGCTCCAGCTACTACTGCGTCCTCTGGCGGTGGCTAAGCGGGCCTCTGCTGGGGGCCAGTTGTCGCCCATGTCGCTGGCCGTCTGTCACAACTTCATCCGGGACATTCTTGCCACGGCACACACGGATCCGCTGCGGTACTTTCTGCTACCATGCTTTGCGCAAAACGCGGATTTTCCCTTTGACTTGCTGATGCGCTCACTCTTCGACGCTCTGGAATCGGTTGGGCCAGCGGAGTCGGAGAGCACGTCCAGTCGGCGCAGCTTCCTTTTTCACGGAGCAGAAACGGGCCAGAAGGCCAAGCGCTTTGACTCGCTGTTCTCTTCCTATCTACTCAACTCCCTCCTGGTGCTCGATCGCAGGCAGTTGGGTGAGTTTTTAACGGATGAACTCTAATAAGCAATAATTAATCCTTTTCCTATATCAGCCTCCCTGCAGCAAACCTCCCTGTTGGTCGTCTATGTGCGCCTCATCGCCGAAATGATGCCCAACATTCTGCAGCTGCCCAAGTCCACGCTGCGCGGCCATGCTAATGCCCCTCATCGTCACAGGGACAGCGATGATGAGTCCGAGGACTCGGAAGAGGAGGAAGAGGAACTGCCATCGGCTCGCACATTGGACTATGATATGGAACAGGCTTGCCGAGCCAGCAACGAACTGACTGTCAAGGAGCGCGACTGTCTGTTGGAGTCCATTGCCATACTGAATGAAACGGAGCGGGTGGACTTCATTGTCCAGCAACTGGATCCGCACATCGATAACAGTCAGCTCATCTATGCGCTCTGCGAGATTTGTCACAACCTGATGATCTACAACAAGCATGCGGTCTTTGAATACAAGTGAGATGCCCTAACATAAATTGCCTTTTCAATATCTTATCTATGACCCTTTTAGATTGCTGTATACGTTGGCTTTTACTCCTAAGTTCATACGCGCTGTGTGGTTTAAGTTGGCTGCAGAGTCCACCCAAATGGGCTTCTCTGCTCCACTAACCCTTATTTCCAAGGGCGTTGTGCGTGAGTGTCACTTGAAACAATATAATTACCCCTTTTCTAAGTCGATTTTTCTTTCACAGCCAAACCACAAGGAGTGGATCGAACTATTCCTCTCTTGGCCACCTTTTGCATGCTTTTCGGTAGGCTACTGCCCACCCTCCATGATGTGGAGTTTGGGGAGAACAAGCTGTTGCTGCAGGTCCACTCCACCATTAACCATGTCCGACTCATGCCCTTTTCTATTGCGGAAATTGTACAAATGTCCAAGACACTGAAGGATATTAGTATGGGCCTTGTGGAGCTGGCATTTCCAGAGACTCGCAGCAATTTGGCCAACTACCGGAGTGTCCTGGGTCACACGGAGGCCGACGACAAGAAGTTGCGGCATCAGAAGCAAATCTGGGCCAACCTGCTCAATGTGGTCGTCTTTGTGCTCAACCAGATTCACACACGCGACTTGCGTTTAGGCTTTTGCCCGGAGGCACACTGGACCGTAACCCGGTTGGACCTGCCGCTGGACAGACCTACAGATCTACCGCTGACCCATAGCAGTCGTCTGCGGGGAATTCGACCCTTCCAGCCCATACGGGACTTTACTCGAGAAGATTTCGAGAACGGGCCGCCCATGTCAACCAAGCAGATTCGCTCCATAACCATTCTGCGCGAGATTCCCTTTGTCGTGGCTTTTAACAAGCGGGTGAGCATTCTGCAAGGTTTGGTGGCGGCCAACAAGATGCGGGTGCAAGGCAATCTGCAAGCCTTTCTCCAGGGTCCTTCAGTTATGATCACAGTGAGGCGGTCTCATCTTTACGAAGATGCATATGACAAGTTGCGTCCTGAAAATGGTAGGTGTTATTTCCAATACCTACACTACTTAATATTAAAAATTGTTTTAATTTTAGAACCGGATCTGCGCTTTAAGTTCCGCATACAGTTCGTTTCCTCGCTGGGACTGGATGAGGCTGGCATCGATGGCGGTGGTGTTTTCCGCGAGTTCCTTTCGGAACTGATCAAAACTTCCTTTGATCCAAATCGTGGCTTCTTTATGTAAGTGTTATCAAAATATTTAAGGTACCAGGCTAATCTTTTCATTTCCTTAACAAGGGTAACCACGGACAACAAGCTTTATCCCAATCCTAATGTAGCCGATCTCTTCGAAGACTATGAGAAGCACTACTACTTCATTGGTCGCATCCTGGGCAAGTCTATATATGAAAACCTGCTGGTGGAGCTGCCATTGGCCGAGTTCTTCCTCACTAAGTTAGCTGGCAAATACTCGGATGTGGACATCCATCAGTTAGCCTCCTTGGATCCGGAGCTGTACCGCAATCTGCTGTACTTGAAGGACTATACAGGCGATGTTAGTGAATTGAACTTGGACTTCACCGTGGCAAGTAGTTCACTGGGCCAGACACAAATTGTCGAGCTGAAGCCGCAGGGCCAGAGCATTCCGGTGACCAACTCGAATCGCATTGAGTACCTGCAACTGATAGCCGACTACAAGCTCAACGTGCAGATACGTCGTCACTGCAACGCCTTCCGCAAGGGTCTGTCCAACGTCCTGCCCATCGAATGGCTGTACATGTTCAGCAACAAAGAGCTGCAAATACTCATTTCGGGAGCCGAGATACCAATTGACCTGGAGGATCTTAAGAAACACTGCAAATACGGCGGTGAATTTACTCCGGAACACCCTTCGATTGTTGCATTTTGGGAGGCTCTGGAAGGTTTCGATGATCTGCAGCGCAGGCAGCTGCTTAAATTCGTCACCAGCTGCTCCAGGCCACCATTACTGGGCTTTAAGGTTGGTATTGAATAGTGCATTAGGCATACCTATGTTATTTATTCAATTTGCGTTTCTTTAACAGGACCTGGACCCACCATTCTTTATCCAAAATGCTGGAGACATGGAACGGCTGCCCACGGCCAGCACCTGCACGAATCTGCTTAAGCTTCCCCCCTTCAACAATGTGGAACAAATGCGTGAAAAGCTGCTTTATGCCATTCAGTCCGGCGCAGGCTTTGAACTCAGCTAATCTGTCAATCCTCAAAAACCTCCAAACATATCCAAAAATCACAGCCCCCAGAAAGGAATAACAAAGTCCCATACAAGTTACCCACCTGGCAGAGAAAAAGGATCGCAGGACGGCTGGTCAGAAGGCAGGCAAACTATTCCAGTTAATTTACAACCAATGTACATTTTGATTAACGTAATTGCTTAGTGTAAAGTATGAAGCTTATGAGGTCTGTTTATCCAAGTTTTCTTTGTAGTTCGTTTGAGTTTGTTTTTCGTATAACAAAATATAAATGTAAATCAAAGCGAGCTAAGAATATTTCAATAAAGGGCAAGCGTTGTCAGTCCGCACGTTTGATGGAACTTATTTATTGTGAGATACCCCAGTATGTATCCATGTTCATTAATCATCAGGTGCCTGGAAGCGCCACCGATACCGCGTCCAACTGCCATGCCTGTTGAATAATTCGTTCGTATACCAGCTGTGGCGCTGAGAGGGCGAAAAGAAAGTCAATGTGATTATAGCCGGGCACCTGATACATCTGCGTAATGCTGTTCCGCAGTTCGCTGACCAGGCGCTGCACATCCGCCTGACTGGACAGTGCATCCCGGTTGCCATGAAAGATCTGCAGCTGCAGGCGAACATTGGCCAACTGATATGAGGGGGGCGTGGACTGACCATATCGCAGCGCATTCAGTCTGGGCGAGCGGTAGTCATACTGCTGGAATTGGCCTGCGGACGAAACATAATACCCATCAATGGTAATCTCACCGCCTCCAAGTTTATCCCCTCTACTAGGGGGTGGCATGCGCAGGGCAAAATCAGGAAAACTGGTAAAAAATTTTCCACAGTTTTATCTTTAAAAGACTTAAAGATTTAAATGTGGCCCTTAGTTTGTTTTAATATTATAGTAATGATAATACAACCTTAAACCTTTTAATGAATTTATTTTATAATTTATTAAATATTATTGAAGTTTTTGGAATTTTTATTGATTAGTAATAGTTGTTTTCATACATTTTAACTATTCATAACTTTGACAAAGTAGAAATGGTTGGGGTTCGAAAGAGGTTTAGTTTACTACTGATTGCTGATATTAAAAATAATAATATAGGAGTCAAAACCATACTTGTGAAATTATCAAATATCTTTAAGAGCTTCCATTATCGTTCTGATTTATCCCAGTGCATTAGAGCATAAGTCTGTTGGCCGGACTTACCGCTATTAATGAGCTGCCCGAAATGTTGCAGCTGGCCCCGCGAAATGCCCGCCGGCGTCGTCTCCAGGATGCGTGGCAAGATGTTCTGGCGACGGAACAGAGGAAGGCCATTTTGTTAGGCTTAAACTCCCGAAACGTTTAAATTTTATGAGCAGCGGCCGGAAACAGGACCTCACCTCTCCCCTCCACTCCTCTCTCACCGTCCTGACCAATCATGTGTGTATCGGTGTGTGTGTTCAGGCTGCTATTTCCGTTTCATTGCGACACAAAGCATTTGCGGAAGTGCACACAGGCACATACACACGGCCACTCACACATGAGCGGGCACAGGAGCGAGGTCTCGGGCCAAAAGACCAAGAGGTCCTTGCTTTGATCCTGCGGCCGGGGGAGCGGAGCTGAATTTATATTGCGAGTATTTGTTTTGAAATTAGCTGCTTATTCGCCTCAGCCCCTGATTAAGGTAAAAGCAATGGGCTTTTCAGTTTTATATTGAGATTGAGATTGATATTGATATTGCTATCGCCCTAGGCTGCTGATTGAAATTGCCAACAGATTTGAAAAGCCGGGAGGATGTAGACAAAATAAAGTAGTTTCTAAAGAAAATATTGATGTAAGGATAAGCAGTTTCTGCCCCTCTTTAGGCATATATACATTCATTGGCCTTTTGATGTTTTTATATTAAGTGGAAAATAAGTTTAGCTGTATCAAAGAAATTCTATCTTTTCTTGGTGCTTTACTTTTTCTTTGCTTTGTATAATTGCTTTATATAATTTCTTAAATAAGCTATTTAAATCTATTCTTACTATTTCTGTGTATATTTGTACGTCAGTTAAATTCTGTCGATTTTAAATTAAACAAGAAAGGAAAGCTAACTTCGGGCGGAGCCGAAGTTGATATACCCTTGCAGAATACTCTGTAAATTATATTCTCCAAAATTATTCATATGATGCATTTTTAATACTCATAAAAAATCCCAACTTCCTAACTTTAAAAACACCAAAGTTATGGCATTTCCAATCGTTCAGTTATATGGCAACTATAAGATATAGTCGGCCGATCCTTATGAAATTTGGTATGTCGGATTGATTGGCCAAAAATAAAACCCATAGAAAATCCCAACTTCTTATCTTTAAAAACACCAAAGTAATGGCACTTCCGATCAATCAGTTATATGGCAGCTATAAGATATAGTCAGCCGATCCTTATGAAATTCGGTATGTCGGATTGATTGGCCAAAAATAAAACCCATAGAAAGTCCCAACTTCTTATCTTTAAAAACACCAAAGTTATGGCTTTTCCGATCGTTCAGTTATATGGCAGCTATATGATATAGTCGCCCGATCCGGCTCGTTCCGACTTATATACTACCTGCAATAGAAAGACAACTTTTGGGAAAGTTTCGAGCAGATAGCTTTAAAACTGAGGGACTAGTTTGCGTAGAAACGGACGGACAGACGGACAGACTGACAGACGGACAGACGGACGGACAGACGGACGGACAGACGAACGGACAGACGGACGGACAGACGGACAGACGGACATGGCTAGATCGACTCTCCTGGTGATGCTGATCAAGAATATATATACTTTATAGGGTCGGAAATGTCTCCTTCACTGCGTTGCAAACTTTTGACTGAAATTATAATACCCTCTGCAAGGATATAAAAATTTTATTAGCAAGAAAATCATTTATTTTTTTAACGACTTTGTAAATTTACCGTATGGATTACCTAAATAAGAACATATTTATTTTCATCATTAAAATAAAAAATTTCTTTTGTTGATTTCAAACTAAATGGGACTTATGGTCTTAAACTATTTAATTGCTATGTTTTTTCGAAATCTCGTTTTAAAATTCCAAATAAATCCGAGAAGCCCTGTTTAAACACAATATCTGCATAAAAAACTGTTCACTTTTTGCCGATGTGCTGATGTTTGTCATTTTTTTTGGGAGATGTCGCTACGACTCTTCAGTTATAGAATTTTATGTAAATCGCCCCGACTTTAAATTGCCATGACAAGCCATTGAAACGTTGCATGCGTCCTGCGGCGACATATTTTTTTTGTTTTGATGTTTATTTGATTTTCCGCCTGGCCGTTGCATTTCCCCATTTTTTCTCAGTTTTGTTTCCTTTTTGCAGCCAGCCAGCAACTTGTGGCAAATACTGGCAATTTTGTGCCGCCAGCTTGTTTGTGTTTCCCCGAGTTTTTCTTTTCGTTTCGCTTCCTTTGCATTTATTTTTCTTACATTTGGTGTTTTTTTTTGTATTTCAGCTCGAATCTTATTCGACGCAGTGCAGTTTTCCAAGAGTGTTGAACTTTGCGAGGGTCGTGGGCGGGGTTTCAGGGGTTACTAAATATGCACAAATATTTATTCGGACTTCTATCTGTGTGGTGTGGCATGTTCGGCAGTTGTCACAAGTATCGCCTCGCTCCATTTGCTCAAGCTCGGCGTCTTTTCACTGTATTTGCTTAACAATTTTTCGCTGCTGGTTCTGGTTTGTTGACTTTTTTATGGGAGTTATGACTTTTTGTATAGATTCGACTCTTGTGTCAAGTGGCAGTAGCTCTGAGAATTTGTTATTTACTTGCATCCGTTGGCATTGCGAGTTAAACATTTGCATTGGAAACTACAGTTTGTAACTAAATTTTGCAACTATTTTTTTCTAAGGAATTTTAAAATCGGAGTATATATGAATGCTTTGAATTTCAATATAATCCAAAAATGTTAATACATTTTTTATCATTTACCACTTTTTAGGATTCATTTTTATATGTCTTTATTTTTTTAAAGAATTTTATTTTCGTTTGCATATTCCGCTTTAGAGTTAACTTAAAACAATGCATTTCTATGTCCATTTCTCACTTAACCCTTGGATTATTCAGCGCTTGAAATGCTTATTTATGGCCGCATATGTAAAAAGATTTAAGAACTCTATCCACGAGAACTTTCTAACCTTTTTTTTGTGCTCTCTATGCAACTATAAAAAGTCCAAATACAGTTTCGGCATCACAGTGTCCAGGGCCGCAGCCAATTGGGCAAAGCCCCCCACTTTAATAACTTACAAGCGGCACTTGGCGCCAGGGCCTGACCCCCAAAACCCGTCCCCCAAAACATCCAAACACCCAAACTAACTCACTTCAGATGGTAAGCCTTTTGAGCACGCGCCCCGAAACACTCCGAACACACAGATAAGCCATAAAGTTTTTTCTTTCGTTACACGAACGCGATTTATTTGCCATATTTCACGGCAAAACAAAATTTAAATGTACCGTGTGCGCGGGAAACAAAAAGTGTTTAAGGCAGCGTGGCGTATACGTAATGTGTGTTATACTCTAGTTAGCCGCCAGCTGGAGTGGCATTTTGTGGGTGGTGGGGGAAAAGTTTAGAGCACCTTTTGGTTGCACATTACTACAGGAATTTTGCCTTCTCTAAAGTCTGTTTGGGAAATGCCCTTAATATATTTTATTCTATCTATTAAAAATGAAACAAAATTTTAGTAAAACTCCTACACAAAAGCTTTTTTTGTTACCTATGTTTATTACTTTAGAGAATAATAAGTGACTTTTCGGTAATTTGAGTAATATTATTTAAGTGTAAGCTGGGATGTACAATTTTACTTTTTATAAGTTTTGTAAAATTTTTAAGCTGTTTTCTTTTTAAAAAAGTTTGAAAACAATGCTAAGTAGCTTTCAATTTTAATTATAACACTGATAGGCCTTTTCGAATATTAATTTTAAGTGGTTTCAGGGCTTTATATATTCCTGAAAATGGGCAAGTTAAACGCTGCCACCAATTAACCCCTTTGGTCCGGTATTTCTCCCCCTCTGACTATCCCCCCTCTTATCCACATCCACAATAGTTCTGGCCTGACTTTCAACCAGGAAGCTTTGCCCGGCAGAAGCAGCTCGTTTACGCATTTAAATTCAAATAACTTTTATTACCGAAACTAAGGCCTCCACCCTTTTTCCCCACCCCCCTTTTCCGCGTATGTTTGCCTGTTTCCGGGAGTTTTTGCGGGGGCGGGGGGGAAAACGCTGGGCTCACTCCAGAGTGCAATAAAAACTTTTGCATACAACAAGAAAAAAAGTTTTCGGGGCGCTTTGTTGGCTAAATTATGGCCCGCATATATAATCGTACTCACACGATCCAATGGATAGTCGCTGAAGCCCACATAAAGGGAGGTGAAGAGGGTGCAGAGGGCGTAGGTGGGCCGGGAGGCGGTGCAGAAGAACTGCCCGCCCACCTGGGTCAGCGCCGTCGCCGGCAGCAGTTCGTGGAGGCCAAGTTTATTGAGCAGCAGCTGCACGGAGGAAAGGCCATCAGTTCCATATGCTCATACAAATATGTCTTTAACTTTGGGTAAGTTTGGTTACAATTAAAAGAAATACAATTATATCAAAATCATTTTCCTTTGATTACTCTATCGAGTTAAAAGATAAGTATCAAAAATTGAAATCAAATAATTCGATTTAAATAATAAATGGATTTTCAATAACTTAATCAAAAAAACTTATCTGGCTCTCAGTTAAATCAATAAAACTTGAGCGTAAATTCATTAATAAAGCCCTGTCATTAAACTAAGTCAGGATTAAACTAAGTCACTATTTTTAAATTGTTTATTTAAGTTAACATTTAAAAAAACATTTTTGATTAAATAAATTTTATTTATTGTATAATAATTGTATTTAACTTTTTCTGCATTGTGCATTTAAGGTCTAAAATATTTTTTGTTAATATAACAAATAGAAATTTAATTAATCAGTTTAATTTAATATGTTTAAAATAGTTGTTTAAACAAATGTGAATTTAAGTAGTTTACTTTGCTTACTTCAAAAGCTTCAATGTAGTTACAAATTAAAAAAAGTATACTTTTATCATCACATTTATCATTTTTATCGCATGTATCACCACAAAAATTGAATTTGAAAATGTTTTAATGGAAGTTTTTGTTTAAATGTAAAGGATTAAGTGCTTTTTGCATATGAAAAATAAAAAATGTTTTAATCTTTTTAAGTGAACCCTTTTTTTCGAGTGACAAGAGCTTATCACTTGTCCCGCACCAAAGGCTCTTCCCAATCCCATCAAGTATACGCACCGTGACCGCGGAACTGTCGCTGGCCAACAAACGCAGTGGCGGACTACTCAGATGCTTGAGAAAGGCCACCGGCGCCATCAGAGCCGCATTGGCGAACCGCGCATTATACTCCGGCCGTTGTGAGAGCAACACCAGCAGCACCGTGGTCCCCTGCGAATGGCCGACGTAGTGCACCTGCCGGCGGTTCGTCCTCGCCAGCACGTAATCCACGATGGCGGGCAGGTCGTAGATGCCAATCTCGTGCCAACTGAACTGCCAGAAGCGGGCGTCACTTGTCGGCAGACTGCGATGCCCGCGGGAATGGGTTGTGCCCCTGGCATTTCCCAGCCAGACATCAAAGCAACGAGCATGCAGTTCCAAGGCCAAGGATCTGCCCCTTCCGCCCGCCACGAAATCTGCGGCGGATCCGAGGAGGCCGTGCATCAGGACAAAGGGACGCAACTGCTGGGGACACCGGTCATTTCGGGGAGCGGGAATCCGGTGGAGACTTAATCTATAACCGTCGGCGGTCTCTACGCGATGCACTTGACACTCGAGTTGCTGCCGGTGAATCGCCTGGCAAACGGAATCGATCAGCGATGACGAACTTTGACCCCCGATCAAGGCAATCCAACAGATCATCACTATGCACAACACCAGGCCAAAACTCATATTGTTCGAGTGTTTAGAGTGCAGTCTTTAAGACATGATTGTTGCCACGTGACGTGCGAATGGATACTGCGGCTATCGGTGCATTCGCTTTCGGTTTTTGTGTTTGCGTATACGCAATGTGGGCCAAGAAAGGGGCTTGGTTCGCCGGGGGTTCGCACTCTGAATGGGAGCTATAAGTAAACACATTTTCAACTTTTGTTGACTGACAATTGATGACAACTACGTAGGTGGCCTAGAAACGTTAAAATATGCAGTAACTCTTATTTCTAGAATATTTAAGTATCTACTTTGATTTTAAATATTCTGTATTGTTTAGTACCCAAACTAAGACCTTAAATTATGTGTATTATATTGTATTAAGTATTGAGTTTGTGTAATCTTTTTAATAATAATATTTACGTACGTATATTTGTTAATATAAAAATCATTTTGAATAGAGTCTGCTTACTCTATATATATATATAATTAAATTAAATGGAAACTACCAATACTGTTTATTACCAATCTGAATAATTGATCAAATTATCAACTCGGCACCCTTATGTTCTAATTAGCTGGATTAATTTACTCCCAGCTTTTCGCCGATTTGGCGGTATGTTGTTGCTATGACAGCGGTGAACTGAAGAGCGCCAAGCCGCAATCTGCAGCACAATGCATACGGAGACGAAATCAAATATGTACCAACGCTTGAGTACATATCATGTATAATGAGCGACTGACTGAGTGAATGGCTGAATGACTGACCGAATGACTGACAGTGGACGGCACATGTTGGGCAGCCTATGTGATTTACAATCTGAATGGCTTGAACGTGTTGAAAATGCAATCGTGCTAATTAAAACGACCGCGACACAGAGCGTGTGAAATTATTACACAGGATAGATGCGGACAACTGTGGCTTACTCTGTCCAGAAACTGCAGGGCAGGCAATAATAGAGTGTGGTCGAAAACTGTCCGAAAATTGTGCTATTGCACCATGGAATTTAACCATTTAATAGCTGGCTTTCAAACTTTTCAATCTGCAGCTTCTTGATAAAAACTCTTACCTAACTGAATTGGAACTTGACCCGAAACCGCAAAACTTTCAGAGCCCTATTGAAATTGGTTCTCATCACATATTAAGCGTTTTAAGAACTAAATTTGTGTGCCAGTCTTATGGAAATTCATTTAACTCAAATAAGAAAGGAAATTGCTGGCGAATGAAAATAAAATCAAGGAGAAAACCTTGGGCGGGGAAAACATGCCAAAAGCCAGCATCGAGTTAAGTAAATATGATTCAAGGACACTTGGCCGACTGTGGAATCCCTTTGGCCACTTACTTTTGTGCACAGATTCCCAGCCCACTTCGTTGGGAACCATTTGAAAAAGCGATTTTAATACTTTCTCGCACAAAAGCTACTTAAAGTTTGCCCTGGCTTGGCGCTTAATTCGTTTTCCGTTTTTTGTTTTTTGTTTTTTGTCAACAGCTAACAAAACAAGCAAGAAAAAATAGAAATAAAAGTTTTTTGTAAATTGAGTTAAGTTAATTTTTTCTTTGTTTTTACCAAGTTCTTGGCCATTTCTTTTTTTTTTTGGCAGTAGGAAGTTTGCGCTTTGGTTTGCCTAATAAATGTGCGTGCAGAGAAGGGGCCAAAAAAAAAGGGAGTGAGTGAGAGGGGTGAGTGAGTGAGTGAGAGGGATAGTGGCACAGACAGTTGTTGCGACAGCCAAAGGATAAAGGATAATGACAGCCATTAGTATTAAGTGCGCGTTGGCTACTTTGGATTCTCCCCCGATGTAGCAGGTTTTTTTCGCAACTCCAGCTCCTTTCTTTCTTTCTATCCCCTGCTCATTAAAGTTGTTAAGTACTTGGCGTAAATGTGGCTTTTCGAGGGGCCCGAGAGCTGTGAGAAGTTCCCGAAGGACTTTGGGCGGGGGCTCCTGAATGGGCCCCGCTATTAAAGTTAATTTAAATGCGCCCTAAGCGCTTTAACTTAATTCGCTGGTCCACAATTCTAACAGAGGGAAATAAAGGTCAGGGAACTAAAGAATAGCAAAAGAAAAACAATATTTCTTTATTTCTCAATCACTCACCTGCTTTGACATGCAGAAAAAAAAACGCATTTTCGACTTTGTATTTTCCTGAAAAAAGAAACCACATCTCGAGCTCCACTTTCATTTCATTGCGAAATACAAAAGCCTTTCAAAACTATTCAAAACAATGAGTGACATAAGGTAAACTAGACGAAGGACCGGGTGGAAATGGGGAAAAGAATGGGGCATTCACTTGTCAAAAATGTTTGCATGTACATATTTTGTTTTTATTTTTTGTTAAACACAGACTGTATTATACTCTATAGATAATTGATTTATTCATTTGTTTTATAAAAGATACAAGATACAGATATTAATATATATGCATATATAAAAACATATCAATTTAAAACTTAGAATGTGGCTAAGATACAGACTGTAAATACAAAATAATTGGTAGCAAAAACAAACAGTATTTTTTAAGAAATTTTATAAATTTATGCTTTTAATCTGTAAATTCCAAGATTAGGGTATTTGCTCTTCGCTATGCATAGTTTTCGTTACTATTCTTACACTTTTCCTCCTCCTAGTTTTTGTTGTCTGTTTTATGGTGTGCACGCCACATTTGCGTTCAATGAGCATGAGATAATGTCATCATCAACGTCGTCTTCATCATTCATCGCCAGACTGTTCTGGTCAGGTGAAATGCGAGATGCAGGGCTAGTTTTATGTCTGTTGTCTGGCAATTTGGTCTTCGGGAAAATGCCTCTTGAAATATAATGAGGATTTCTTTTAAAATTATTCCAATTTAAGCCAAATGTGTGGAATATAGTTAAAAAAAACAATTATCGCGTTGGATATTAAATATTGGTTTATGCTTAACTGCAATTTGTAATTGATAATGAAAAAAAACAAATTGTATTGATATTATATATTGGCATATTAAAAATACAATTTTGAATTCTTACGTTGATTAATATATAATCAAAATCGCACTGGTTTTTTCATTTCGATATTGAGTTGAAGGTAAGCATCATCGTAATTGGCCGCCTAAAATAAAGATAAATATAGAAAAAAATTGAAAATTTTATGTGAGATATGTTAGAAAACTTACTTGTTTCCAAGGTTGTTCACTACATACTCCACGTAATTTGAATGGGGGATAAATCGCAGGATCCCTGAGGAGCTTAATAGTGTTCCAAATAAATTTGACGTAATTTTTTTTTAACAAGTTATAGTAGTTATATAGAGCAATCGATCTCAGGTTTGGACATGATTCAAGAAACGATGGGAAAAAGTTGCATTCATTTTTTTCTGCAAAATGGGTTGAAGTAATTTCCAAGTCTTTCAGATTTCTTAATTGAATCAGCATAGTAATAAATTTTTTATCGGCAACTCCCAGTCGTAATCGAGTTAGCCAATTAATGTTCGTTAACTCGACCACGTCCAAAAATTCCAGTTGGGTGTTGTCTAATAGCAAAGTCTGAAGGTTCAGTAAAACCTTCAGTTCTTTTAGTAGCTCCCACATCAAAGTGTCCTGCGAATTGTGGATGTGTAACTCTGTGAGATAATCGAGAGATACTATATATTTAACATCTTGCACATTGTAGACAAAGCACTCGAGGGATCGCAATTCCTCGAATTGGGATATCAAATCTAACTTCTGAGATGGAAGTGTAAGACGGCGCAGTCTATGGGGAGATCGTTGCATTATGCTTTTTAATAGTGATTCGGTAGCCTGGGCTACATAATCAAAATGAATGCTCAGTTCCTTAAGATTTGGAAGGTTTGCTATCATATCCATATTTAATGGGATTTCCGTTTTATTCTTAAGCCTTTCAATTTGGGCTAAACACACAGTCCTTATGTCAAGAACATGTCCAACATTGAACCTTCTTGGAATTGGACCACAACTCTCACAATGTCGAATATTAATAAATTGATCCTTATCACAATCTTTAAATATTTGGTCAGCAGGTATTCCTAGTTGCAAACTCTCCAAGGATTTTATGCCAGAAAGCGCCAGGATCTCTTCGAAAGTAGGGCTTGTTCGTTGAATACTGAGGCTTCTCAGTACTTGATCTTCTCTCGAGGCAAGGGCGTTGAAAAGCGATCGTAGAGATCCCTTCGGATGTTCGAGAATTGTAAGTGATTCAAGGTGATTTAACTTGGCCAAATATTCCGTTGATTCGGAACAGAAGAATCCGCACTTAAGGACTTTTAAGCTACCGATTCCCAAATGCTCGTTAAGTTCCTCGGGGCCAAGAACATTAATTTCCAACTCCTCCAGACCTTCGAATAACTTTATAAAATTTGTAAAAGATAAATCTTCGATGGGACCCTTAATCAAAAGAGCTTTTATGTTATTTAATTGGGCTAGAGGCTCAAAAATTCTGACACAATCCCGTATCCTGTGTATTCTGTAGCCGATATTGTCACCTGTAAAGTCTAGTATTAGTGTCACAGCATTATTTTTATGGAGAATAGAAATCTTGCACTTTTCTGTGTTGATTCGATCCACTCTATTTGATATCTCTTCAATGGCATTTAGTTGCTTTATCTTCATTGCAATTATATACTCCAAATGAGAATATGAGCAATCAATGTCCGTCAATGACTGAATGGAAGCAAGTGTTTCAGCATGCTCTAGGGTAAATGGAGAAGAGATTCTTATTTTTTTTAGAATTTGTGGTCTCTTGCTGGCTAGACCCTGGTATACGTTTTGTAATGCGAAGCTGTCAAATACTACTTCAAATAAATTAACTGAAAGTTGAAACTGAACGACATTTAGTAGCGGGGCGATGGCATTTATGTAATTACAAATATGTTGGTGGTTTCTGGAATGCTCATCATCAACGCCAATTTTCAGACTTCCATGTTCCTCGATATACTTGATCTTCAAACTCCATCTTTTTGTTCTAATAAATATTCTAGGCTTCATTAGCAAGTGCTTCAAGTGATTCACTAAAGTGGCCTGGTTCGAATCAGCAAATATCGTGAGTGTTTTAAGATTCGGGAGTTGAGTCAAAAACGCAATGCTTGATTCATCACTGAAACCACTCGCTATGAAGGTCAAAGAGCTGATTTGTGAGATTGCCAGCGCCTCTTGTGTGCTGAGCAAAATGTGTGGAATAAGTAATCTCTTGAGCCGCATTCCCTCGAGAGCTTGAAGCAATGCTATCAGAGTTCCCTCTCGATGGTTTCCCCAAAGTTTCAGAGATCGAAGCTTGGGCAAATTTGCGATAGCGGCATATTCCGTTGCGTCTATATCGGGCTTCATCTTTAGGATAAGTTTTTTCAATTTGTTACAGTATGGCGAAATATCCGCAAACCTTCCGTTTAACTCGGTACTATGAAAATGAAGTTCGCATAAATTTGAATTTGATTTGCAAAGTTCTACTAAGTCTTCGACGTCCATTTCCGCATTTAATGAGAGGAATTCCAATTGACCGAGCTGTGGAATATGGTGGACCCTATTGCCTATAAACTCAAAGCAATCAGATTATAGCAATCAAAAACTGTATTCTTAAAAACTCACCGGAAACATTAATATCAAGGTGTTTAAGTGAGTTCTTGTGACTAATGGCATTCATCAGGGCCTCGAACCTGTCCAAATGTTCGGGGTAGTGTCGGTTTGGTTCAAAAACTATCTCAAGTACACATAGTCTTTTGTTTTCCTTGACCTCATTAATGTATATATCCCAATATGTTTGTTTGTACTCTGCGGAGACGTTTTGCAATGCGTCATATTGCTCGTTCAAATTGATTTTAATAATAGATTGGCAAAAAAGCATAGGCATATAGTTAAATAAAGAATTATTTAACCAGGATTGGCTTCTTAAAAAGGAACGGAAACACTCTATATTAAGTGCGATGAAAAGATCTGAATTCCACTGCTTAAATGCTTCTGCGAATCGGTCGCAGCTGATAACGAAATTTACGAGATCCCAATATTTTAGGGGATCTTTAAGCTCGCAGTTGTTTTTGATCTGCTGAAATATCTCGAACAAACAGCGATCGTTCAGTTGAAGTATTGAAGTGGCTTCCATATTTTTAATTTTGTTTCAATCCACAGATCAGTTTGTTTTTTTGGCAGTTTGCTCTACATCACTTTTATACAACACTTCACCAATTGATAATGATTTTATTTTAGTTCACAACGATTTATATAGCGGCACACTATTAGCTTATCGGTTCAAGTCAAGTCCGACGATGACGAAAAACAGAAATGTACTGGTCGGCATCTGTCAAACGGAGAGCTTTAAATAGATCGACTAAAAGATGTATCGATAGCTTTGGTTATCGATGGTTCGATACAATCGGACAATATATATCATCAGAAGTAGATTGTAGGGTTAAATGGGTTGGCATTTCGTCTTTTAAAAAACTTATCATAAATAAATTAATTCCAAATTTACCTTATGTTAGAACGGATAAAGAAGAGAAAAACCTCTTCCTTTTAACGCTAAATACACAATTATTAAATAATTTTAATGTTGAATATGTTGTTATATTCGATTGCAAGCTTTAATTTATAATTCCTTAACATTTTAATCCATGCTTTGTCTACTTAATTGATTTAGCAGCGGCTTAACATTTTTCAATCATATATTAAAATGGGAGCCTGTTTTATCCTTGGTGTGCGGGCTTAATAAAATAATATGCAATAAAGCGCTCACATTTCAATTTACAATTTCTATCACTGCCTGTGGAATAATTGCATCTCGTCCGCAGTGAAAACCTTGCCAATTCAATAGCGGAAGGCTTTTTTGCGTATTTTGTTTCATGCAATTAAATTTATATTTACAGCAATGTTTCACACACAGCAGCCGGTGGATAAATCAGACCAGATATATGGTGCAATCGGGTGCCTTTTCCCATTTTTATTTGTTTGACATTTGCATATTCAGTTTGATTTTTTTATTTATTTGTCGCTGATGAATGGTTTTTTTATGATTTACGTGTACATTTTTTGTGAATCGTACACATGAAATATACAAGATTTTCACTTTGATTTGATTTCGCAACGTATAAACATTTATTTTTCATTTATTACCGCTGTCAAACATTTACAAAGGGACTTCAATTGAGGGATAAAGCACCAAATAAATCCTACTTAGTAAGTGATTAAGAATGTTTGGGCGCACTTTAAAGTTTCCTTATCAAACAAATCATAATCATAAAGCATACTTCCTGTTCTTTTTTTTCGATTAAAAATAATCTTAGGCACGTATTTTCATCTCTGCAGCAGAGCCAAAAGAAAACCTGCTCGGCATATCAATTATTTATAATTATTGTTAATTTTCAAAGCAAGCAACCAACCAAACAAACAGGAAAAAAAATGAGCACGGAAAAAACAAGGAAAACCACAAAGAGAACCTCAATTAAAATTCAAATTAGAGCGCTTGGAAAATTCGCTCTGCCTGGTGGCAAAAGTGCGAAAACTTAAAACCACAGGGAGGAGCACCGTTCACCATTCACCACCTCATCCGCATTTTCCTGCACAGGAAAACTAACTGCCTAAAATGAAATATGAACCCAGGCCGCCGAATGGTGATGAGGGCGGCAAAAAGGCGAGGGAAGAGCGAGGAAAACGGGGAAAAGCCAACTTCCTTAGCCATGGACTACTAATAAGAAATTTGTGAACTTTGCAAATTTGCCATCATTAATTCTGGGCGGGGGGGGAGGTGCATGAGGAAAATCAGGGGGGCGTGGGCGTGCCGCTTGGTAAATTGCCGAACGGGAACATTTTTCATTCGTCGTCGTCCTTCGTCATTGTGTAATAATTGTCAAGCAATTTAAATCGAAGCTCCGAGCGTAATAAATTGTCATATGGCAGGAGGCAGGGATACGCCTCCATGGCCTCCAAGGCCTTCGCAGTCGCAAAAGTCCCGACTTCGGCGATGAAAAAATAAGGTAATGAGGAAACGGAAATTGTTGCCGGAAGTTGGGAGCCAAGGCAAAGGGCGGAAGCTCATTTTGCAATATTCACAGACGACTGATTTCGATTTCTAGCAACGGCTTTTTCTGGGCTTACACCATGAATTGTAAATTGATTGAGGACCCAAGCGAAAATCTTCCAATTTTGCTTTGTCCCTTCAAGGCTCTTTGTAACTTATCATTAATAATAGTGGCCTGTGGCTCTGGGCATGAAATCGTGAAGGAAACCCAGCTTAAAGAAGTTATTTTTGCTTTTCAGCTAAGATAATTTGAAAATAATCGAAATCCCATAAAAATTATGCAAATATATGTATTTGTTTTTAATATTCTGGCTATGTATGGAATTTAAATATGATAAGTATTATCCAATAAAAATAAATCACACATTATTATAAATTCCAACTTTCGGCCTCGTATATATTTAAATTAATGTGATTTCTGATTAACTACTAAGATTTATTCAAATTGCATTAATAAATAAACTTTTTTTTACTAAAAGAAAATAGGAAAAATGAAATCAAAAAATGAATATATTCTTTGTTAAATATCTTGTCATGAAATTTTTGTTCCCAGATATGTTTATATTTATGTGATTCTATTGTTGACCTCTGATCAATTAATCATAATAAAGATGTAATAACATTTAATTGAGAAATTAAAAATAATGATTTTTAACATAATTAAATACAAGAAAATAGCTTGTATCTGTGATCCTTGGCTCTAATGGCAGTGCAAATAATTTGAGTGTTCGCAGCACTTTGCCACTTGAGAATATTTTAATGAAAATATAAATCCCCCAAAACGTAACATTTCCATTTCCTGATTTGTCTGGGCTTTCCTCGACTCTGGACTGCGAATCGGAGCAGCCCTTCGGTGCTCAAGGTTTAGGCCATGTCCTGTGACAGGAGCCGCCAAGTGCTGAGCCGTTTGTCTGCCAAGGCAACAAAATGGTTGCGCGAAATGCGCTCGTAAATGCTTCCATGTTGCCAAGTTCTTGTTTGTGAAGAGCTGTTCAAATAAGCACCGGAGCAGCAAAAACAACAGCAGCATCAGGTCCTGGGGTCCAAAAAGGTAGGATGTTTAGGGTAGGGCGAAAAGGACCTCACTGACGTTAGTTTCATTGTTGACATTGCAGATTCAACGGCAACGGCAACAGAAACGGCAACGTGGCCAAAGTGTGCTGGTGAAAAAAGGGCAAAAAAAAGCAATTAACTTGGCTTACATCTTTGTTGAAAGTTGAAACTGAGGGCGCGATTTATGCCGCCGGCTCAGCGGGTGCAGGTGCACAGGAGTTGCAGGTGCATTTCCAGGGGAGCTGAAGTGTCCACTCGTCCTTCGTCCTTCGTACTTCGTCCTTGGCGGAGCAAACGAAACAAAACTGAAGCGTGAATCTCACACAATGATAAAAGTTAATGGCTTGGCGCACTTCAGGGGTTAGATCTCGCTTTGATTCCCCGTAAAATTGCCAACGGGCCCAAAAGATTGCTGGGTGACGAGTTAAATGATTGAATATGCATGAATGTGCACAGGAAAAATTTGTAACATACGAAATGGGGTTTTATTTTTTAGACTATCTGTTCTATCCACTTTCCAGATGAATCAAATGTTTCAACATGCTTTCATAGGGTATTAATCAAACTGCATATAACTGGAACTTACAGCCGAATTATTACCTGTTTTGAACAGCTTAACAAGATATCTAACAATCCTTTTTAAGTTTTCTCTAATTTCAAGCAACAATTATTGATGGTAAAGTTTAAGGTTTTAATGCAAATCGAATATGAAGCTAATAATGATTTATAAAATTACAAAATTTAAACATGTGTTCTAATGCTTCTGAACTGGTTTCTTATAGTTCAAATTTTTTGAAAGAGTTAAAATCGGCCATGATCTATTTTTTTAATGAAACCGAATAGTTAAATTAATTTATCAATTTATGAAAATTTAACAATTGATTAGAATGGATAACATTAAGCTATAGCACTTACCACAATTACCATCTAAAATTTATTTTAAATTATTCCCATTACATTCCCAGGAAAACAACTATTATCTGCTTTCTTTCTTTATTTTCAATGTTTTGATTTCTCATTTTCAATTGCATTCTACCAACCTCTGGGGTATTTATTTTCATTACTGATTTCCACTGCCGGCTTAAATTGCATTTGCTGACGTTTTATTCTCTTTTGATTTATGCAGTTGCATTAACATCAACGTATTTGATTTCGATTTATATTTTCATTTGCATTTCCATCTGATTTGATTTGTGTTTTTACTTGCCATTTTTTCTACCAATTAATCTTATCTCTGTTTTAGACTAATTATGCTGGTTTACATCGCTTAATTTGATAGAAGCTTAATGTTAATTAATTCCCAATGCTCACGCATTACGGGATTTTCTTGTTGACTTGTATTTGCTATTTAAAAATGTTTAAATAGAACTACAAAAAAGCTCATGCGTGTTTTTGTTCGATTTGTTTTTAAGTGTTGGACATCCAGCTTGAAGCTGAATTCGTGTCTGTTGTTTGTTTTTTTTAAGCATAGGCGCAGAAAAATTTGCTACACACAGAGAGCAAGAATCTGACACTAATAAACATTTATACAATCCGGGGAGACGACATCGATTTGCGTGTGTGTATGTGGGTAGGATATTCCGATTTATCAGAGTTTTCTAAAAAATAATTCGCTTTTGTTTCGTGTTTTTTTTTTAAATATTTTTCCTTCTAATTAAAATGGACACAAATATTTGCACAGACATAATTGCTCAATAAATATTTATGCATATTCATATTTTTCTTGTTTATTTGGTTGTTGTTGTTGTTGATTCTGGCAGGTACCTGATACTTAAATATCAATTAGTTTAGGAGTAAAGTTGGCAGGGGAGATCTGTCTGAAGCAAATAAGAGATTCGAGATTCGGCCTTATTCGCTTGCGTGTAAAAGCGCCTAAAAGCGAGCTATGCGAACTACAGCAAAAATGTTATTGTATATGTAATCGCAATACAGTTATATAAATACACCGAAATATACGAAAAAATGTTCAGCCTACACACAAATATATAGTTTTACATATATATATATATATATATATAGATTCATATTCTAAATTGTAAATATTGATTTTTAAACTATCACTTAGGCTACATTGAGTTTTGACTTAGCTTTGGTTTTCTTTACGTTTTGGTTTCATTGTTTTTTAACACTTAGGGTTTTTGGCAATTGGAGCTCTGGCCTTGCCAATTTGACACTTGGCAATTTGTGGCGCCGAAAGTCTCCAATTATTGGACGAATTGTTGATATACGTTGCGTATCATGCTCAAAGTGAGTGAATGAGAGGGATAGAGCCGTAGCATGAGTGGGTCAGTGGGTGAATTGGTGAGAGAGAGATAGAGACATTTAGTGGCTTAGTTCCTTAGATTAGCGTAGATTGGCAAATTTCGTTTTGGATTAGGCTAAATGGCTACTGACACTGATCAGCAGTTTTTTTTTAATTAAAAGAAAACTATAAATAAAAAATAATAAGTTGGCTATTTACTATGCAGTGTGACCAAGCCACAAAGAAAAACATTTTAGGCGCAGTGTGACCATGCAACCTGCCTCAAATTGTGTTATTTGGCTTAAATTCAACTAAAAAGATTTACGAAAACACTCTTTTGTATGTAAGCATTCAATTTTAAAACCAAAAACATGCCTATTTTCTGTAAGAAGCTCGTTAAATAATTAACTTTAATGTTCAGTTGTTATTAAGCTGCTGTTTAGTGCCAATGGCCATCGCTCGAAGCTGTTGACTTGTTTGCCTGCGTTCAGTTGAGCTTATATTTTAAAGCTTAAAGGCAATAGGTTTCGCAAACATGGCCGTTAAAGTACATATTTGTATGTAGTAGAAAAGAGTACCAGCACACACACACACACACACACACCATTACTCGAATACGCACACAGGCTCGTAAATATACTATAGCAGCTTATAGTGGAGCACTCACAATCACATGCTTCGACAAGCACAAGTTTCAATTTGTTGCACTTTTTTGAAGCATTAAGTAGCTGCCCAAGCTTAAGTGTGCGAGTGTGTGTGAGTGGGTGCCTGTATGTGTGTTGGTGTGTGTTTTTGTTTGCTTGTGTGTGTGAGAGTTGGCAAAGCGGTTTAGTTTCATTTAGCATTTAACAGTTACTAGTATTTGGTTTTTTCGCTTATTTTTTCCGGTTTGTTTCCGTTTTTCATATTACACAACACTGAAAGCACACGTAAAGTTTTTGTTTTGGTTTCCTAGTTTTTGTATTTTTTTGGATTTCTCTTGCATATTTAGCTAAAATTACAATTTACGCACTAAACATGCAGGGAATTTCGTAAAATTAGAGCAAATGCAGTTCGCCCTTAAAGATCCTTTGTGTCTTTAGTTTCCTAAGCTTTATAATCTAGTGGCTGTCGGTTTCTGAGGCCCCTGCAATTTATTTTTACATTTTCTATAGATTTTTCGAAATTTATTTTGATTTCTGTTCAAGATTGCACAACAAACATTTGGCTCTACTTAAATACTAGCAACTTAAATGGGATCTTTTAGATCTGTAGCTGTCTTCATTTTCAAACTTTGTCATAGAAATTTATTCTCACACATTTTATTGAGTGAAATTTATTTAGTAAAAGAAAAAACTTAGCATTTCAAAAATTCATGTTTTCATAAAAATAGATTTTACATAAATGAAATAGTCATAAAAGTCAGTTTAAGTTTGAATAAATATAAAAATGTAGTCATTAAATAACACTTTTACATTTGTTTGGAAAAAGTATTTCAATATATTGTAAGCTTTAAAATAAAACAAAATTTCTGCAAGTTGGCTTATAAAGCCATTTAAATTCCCTCTAAGTGTCTGAAAATAAAAACAGCTACAATCCTTTATATAATTTCATTTCGTTTCCAATTCGAAACAAAAGATCGGATCACAATCACAAAAGTGGGACTCGGGGGCCTTAGGAGTTGCCCAAATTGGACGGCGACGGTGGCCACTGGCGCTTGATGACCGCGAAGTGGGTCATCTGGAAGGTGTTGGTCACCTGGCAGCGGCGCTCCACGAATCCGGTGAGGCAGTAGCCCATGTTGTAGTCCTCCATCGATATGTTGGACGTCAGATAGAGCTTGAACTCGTCGTTCCACGCGGGCTGTGACTTGTCGCAGCCCATTGCCCCCGTCCGGATGGCGGCTGCCCCGCCATTTCCAGTTGCAGGTGTTGCAGGTGTGGGCGTGGCAGCCACCGATCCGGTGCCCGCTCCCCCTCCCCCGCCGGCGATGCCGCACCCGTGGCCGCTGTCCGGCGAAAGTGGCCGGCAATCAGGAGGGAGCCCTGCTGCTCCAGCGGCAACATCCGTGCCTTCGTCGCGCGCCGCTGGGTTCCGGAGCACTCCACGATGCGGCAGCGATTGGGCTGCCAAAAGCAGGGCGTGATGGTCCAGTAACTGGACGAGGCCGTCCGCGCCCAACCCTCTTCGGGATACAGCAATATCTGAAAGGTGGCAGAAAAGATGAGACCAGAGGTGAGTGCACTGTTGAAAAAACGGGGTTCAAATGCAAACAATTCAAAATGTTTGATCTTATCTAGGTATCTAGTATTTTGTAAGATATATTTCTTTATATTTTACAAAGTACTTTAAGAAAGAAATAATGAAATATATTGGCTTAAACCTCCCTAAATTGAATTATTTTCTTATTGGAAATAGAATGTTAAAAAAAAAATTGAAGTCTTTTATAAACTGAGATAGATCTCTATATTAAGAAATATAACTCTTTGAAAATATAATATTCTTGCTAAGATCAGGATCAAAAAACGTACTTCAATATTATAACAATTTTTCTACGTTAAAGAGAATTAAATAAAATAACAAGAAACGGCAGATTTCTTACTATTCTGTCAATTTCAAAAAAGACTTCTACATAATATTTTTTCTCAGTGTGGGCCTTTCAGGACATCGAATGCCAATAGCAAATTGGTTTTCTGTGTCGCTCTTTAATTGAAAATCGTAATTAAAATCGTGCAGATTGTTTAGCCAGGATTTGGAATCCGATTCGGTTTTCATGGAACTGCACCTTAATCAAGTCCAGTGCGAGTGTTTATCATTAAGTGGGCAATTATTGTTAAACACACTCACGCTTAATTTGGTCAAATTAAATTGGCATAAAATTAACATGAAATTGCATTTGACGTTTTTATAGCGGCATATTTTTCAGCACAGCAGAACCTGGCAACAGGCGACCATAAAATGTAAACAGTAAATTTTCTGTTTTCAGTAATTCACTTGTATCTTATGCACTTGCTGTCATTAAGCAATCTCTTCTGTTAATTTGATTGATTTTGCTTTATCATTTTCATTTTCATTTCTCATTTCCATATCGAACTGAAATTTTTGCCACTGGCACTGCAACCGCATTTGGCCAACAGTAGCCATAAATGAAATTAGTCAGTTAGTTTATCATTGCCCAAATGCCCAAATGCCAGTCTTCCGCTTGGCATCAATTTCATTTACCGATTTTATATGCGGTCTTTGCGGTCAATGCACGCGGCTCTTTTATAATTAATACATTTCACAGTCGCTAAATGCCAGACATTTCAAATATTTGCGCACAACGGGGCGTATGCTTAATAAGCGCCCAGCAAACAGGATGGAAAAGAACAGAGATAGAGAGATACAGGGAGCGGGCTAATCAAACATTGAACTTGGCTTAAAGGCTCCTCTACGGCCAAGGCAAAATCACGCTGGCAAACTCCAAAGAAAACTTCAACAAAATTGAAATGGGGCGAATAAAAAATCCAAAGCCAAAGTGGGTGAAACGAGTTGGCCAAAAGGGGAAAGGCCGGCGGGCAATGGCCACCACAGGACCATGGAATATAACCGGGAACCAGGAGCTGATGCTTTTGAAATTGAAGTGGATGCAGCTGCAGCCACAAGGAAACTCACCCCGGGGGTTCCCCAGTTTTTCCCAGTTTTTCCCATTTTTCGCCGTTTCCCAACCTCCTCGCCTTTGTTCTCCACTTTGACTTTAAAATAAAAATTCGCATATGCCTCGATGCGAAACTCGGACTCTCGGCTGCCAGGTAAGTTGTTTAAAATTAATGCATCGCAGGGGCACTTAAAAATGCATCCATTTACGTTTTATTTACGCTCAACTCTGGCTGACCGAAAACAATGAGAATGGCCGAAGCGATTGGGTGTTTGAATGGAAGTGAAAAGCCCGGCCACGGCACATTAAGCTGGAAATGGAAATCCCCCTTAACATTAATGAGTATTGAACGATTTTCGCAAGGCTATGGTTGTGTGAAAGTGCTACCGGCGAATACCTGATGGTCATGAGCAGGTATTTAACTTATAAATGGTTGAAAACGGTTTGAAAATGATTTACAATGATAATAATGGTGGACTTAAACGCTGTTCTTTAAGCTCGTAGGAATTCAATCTAATATTTTTGTGAATGTTTCCTGGCTTTAAATTCCCTTTACCCAAAATTACTTTAAAGAGTCCCAGCTTTAAATAGTAATTTCTAAAATTCATTACCTCTCTTCTGTTTAACATTTGTTTTTCCTAATTAAAAGCATATTTTTCTCGCTAATGCGAGTAATTTGATACTGAAAATGAAATTTTCTCTGGAAAAACCGAGCTACTGTCTGACTGCATAGATGACACATCAATCCGCATCCACAAATTGCCTTCTGGTGAACCACAGCACGTGCTGCATATTTGTCAACTGTCCCCACATGACGCGATTGGCTTGGCTTGAATTGCCCTCTCGTGTTTGGAAATTATAAAAGCACGGAAAATAGAAGCAACCCGAAATTGTGGGAACGACTGGCTAATAAGCTGCCAAAATAAGCTTTGCGACGACAGGTAGAGATACTGATGGGTTGCGATGGCTCCACCGTTTCACCGCTCTTCCGACCCCGATTGCCATTGCATTATTCAAAGATGCCAAAAGCGCGCGCTGCAAAATTGAAAATGCAACGGCAGCCACCAATGCACGCAACAAATCGCTTGCCACTATCAAGGGTCATAAAATCCTTCACTGCCATCCGCGCCCCCCCCGCCCCCTTCTACTCCCCCTTTCAAGCTGAGCACACATATTGGTTGTGGGGTTTATGCAGCAAGGACTCGCCAGTGGTGGTGCACCAGAAATCACTGTTGGCCAAGTATTAAGTGATCTTCTTAAATCTTTCTGTTAAATCTTTCTTAATACTTCCCATTTGTGTGTAAAATAATGTTTGAAAGCTTGACAGACTAATTTAAAATGAGCAGAAAATAGTTAGAAATAATAGGTCCGGCTTAAAATTAAGGAAATTCCTTAAAAATATATAAATTACTTTATTAGTATAATCGCAGTCGCTAAATAATAATTGCTGATGCAGAGAATGTGGATTTAAAAACTTACAAACTAAAGAAAAAAGTATAAGCTTATAAAGCAAAATTAGGTACAATTTTGTTTTCTGAAATTTGTTGCTTTTGCTTTTTAGTTGCTTTTGGCTTAAAATTCAATTTTACTTTTTAAATAATTTATTACTTTTACAGCTAATATAACTATAATTCTGAAGAAGTTCATAATTACATAACTCCTTTACCTAGATTTAAAAACTAAAATTGTCTAATGAATAATCAAAATTCTGTCGGCTGTCAGTTTGTAAAAACTATCTAAAACTAGCTTAACATGTACATGGTTAATATAGTGATTTATTTATAATTTGTTTTCGTAATACATATCAAAATATCTATATTTCAAAGTAACTGTTTTCCCCAAACTAACACCCACATCTAGTCACGCACACACTCGAGGGGCGAAAAAGAGGGCAGACACGTACGCGCTGGAAAATCACTTCCGCTTTTGAGCTGCAACGTTGGCAATTTCGCAGAGGAGCGTAGATAAATGCGATGCGGGGTGGTGGGGGGCAGTGGGTGGTGAATGGTGTGTGGTGGGTGGATGAAAACCCAACCAAAAGGGGCATCAGGTGGCGAATGCCGAATGGCAAAATCGAAAACGTGGCCAAGACTGGGTCGTCGATTCGCTGGGAATCGCTCCTCCTTGAGGCGTCCATAATCGATTTCTGCGTTGGAGAGACTGCGACTTCAACTGCCTTGGCAGCATCCGTGGAATTGTTTGTTGACTTTGGGTTTTTTATTGCGTGCCATTTTATTGCCACCACAAGTCCACGTCGACCCTATATTCCAACGTGGCTTCTCAGCTCCGGTTCGGTAAATAAAATGCCAAATGGCAAAATGGCAAAATGGCAATACCCGAACGCGCTGAGGGCAACCACCATTGTCAGCAATTGGCAACTTTGTCTATTAATTTGCTTAATGAGTTCAGTGACAAATATTGAACGGCTGCAACTTAACAAATAGCTGCCAAGTTTCCCTGCGATTCGAGAGTTGGAGCTGGAGACTAGGGACTCGGCACCCTTGGAACCCTTGGAACCCTCAGAACCCAACCCCAAAACCCAATCCCTGAGCAGGGAAACTTTTCTCATTTGGCTCGTCCGTTCGCTTCGCTCGACATTAATTAATTAAGTGCTGCCGCAGACATTTCAACACTTTTACCAGTCAGTCAGTCAGTCAGTCAGTGGGTTCGTCCGACCCTCCGACTGTCTGTCATCGACTCAGGCATTACTTAGGCAAATGGTCTCTGTATTTGTGGGTGTATATGTATCTCCGGGCACTTCAACTTAATTACCCGCCCTCATAGGCATACTGCAGATCTTGTGCCTCCAAATCCAGCATAAGCTCGAAAATCAAAGCTTCAACACGATTGTCTAAGCACTTGAGGCGCCCCCAACCCATCACCCATCTTAGTCATCCTGGCCATCCACCCGTCCACCCATCTACTCATCCACCCACCCACTCATCCAGCCACCCACTCATCCTTCCATGCACGCAACTCCACTCAAAGGACCTCTCGAAGATTTTTATGAACACTTCTGGCGAGGAAGGCTGGAGCCTGGGAAGGATGAAAGAAGGCTTTCGGGGAGATTACAGGTATTCAGCAGTTTGTGGCTCATTTTTTAAGATTAAAAAGTGTCAATTATAGCGAACAAGTTTTTAATTTGGTAATTGTGTTTTCCTATGAGATACAAATTATATATTTTGTAGAAAAAATGAAAAAATATAATGGGAAAATATTTGTAACTTATGCCACTTTAATGAACTAACCGCTTTTAAACTTATTTTATAAATTCACCTAAAAATTTACAACAGTAAATTTAAAATTTTCAACGTATTTCCACCGTTTTACTTTCTAACTTCATTCTTTAATGTTACCTCATTTTTGATCAGAGAAATTTAAGTTTTAAAGTGAGAGTATCAAATAGTAGTTTTTTGAAACGAAGTCCTTTTTAATTAGAGCTTGTTAAATTCTAACTTTAAATAAATAGGTACAAAAGGAGTCACGTAATTATTTACCGAGACCCACCAGGTGGGTCATTTATATTAGAGATTTTCCTTTCCTTCCCTTTAAGCTGAGGCTTTTGTT